GGTGCAAATAAAATGCACGTTTTCTCTCAACCTCACTACTTACCTGTTATGCGAAGAGAGTTCGATACGTTGGAAATAGTTATAAGATCGAGTACAGGACAAAAAATACCATTCCAGTTTGGAACCGTGTGTATTAAACTACATTTCCGAAAATTATAATAATGAATTCTCTTTGTGATCATCATAAATGTCCATATGAAAATTATTATACACATCAAGCTGGATCAGGAGTTGGAGTAATTTATAAGGGTTCACCATATCAACGCGGTCATGGTATTGGGAGCTTCTTAGGGGGGTTATTCAGATCAGTTTTACCTTTACTTTCAAGTGGTGCTCGAGTGATTGGTAAGGAGGCATTAAGCGCTGGAGTAGGACTTTTATCGGATATGGTTCAAGCCCGTCCTATGGAAGCCTCAATAAAAGATCGTCTAAAGCAAGTTAGTACGAATTTAAAACGAAAGGCTGATGAGAAAATTGATCAATTTAACATGACTGGATCTGGGTATAAAACTAAAAGAAAACGATTGACATCGTTCATTCCACCATTAACTGCTAAAGTGAAAGCTGCGAAAAAACTTAGTCTAAAACCAAAAAATATCAAAGATATATTTTCAAACTAAATATGTCTTTCCTTCATAATCATTCTTGCGAGTGCGTTAAGTCAGAATTGGATTTGTTTGCACTACCGTCTACACAAACTAGCATTGAAAATGGATTGTGGATTCATTATAAACCAATTTCATCTCTTGGTGATGATGGACCTATCGAGTTTCAAGTTCCTGGGACCGGCGATGACTACATAGATTTGTCTCATACATTACTCCACATAAAGGCAAAAGTATTAAATCAAGATTCAACTAACTTGGTATCTACTACAATAGTAGCACCTGTAAATAATTGGCTGCATTCACTTTTTAGTCAACTTGATGTTTATTTAAACCAAAAACTTGTATCACCACCTAATAATACCTATGCATATCGAGCATACATGGAAACCCTTTTAAACTATGCCCCTGCTGCTAAACAATCTCATCTTACTTGTAGTCTTTGGTATGAGGATACAGCAGGAAAAATGGATTCTACAGATGGTAAAAACATAGGATTTGTTAAAAGACAGGAATTGATTAGTGAAAGTAAGGAAATAGAAATGATTGGTCATCTTCACGGTGACATTTTTAACCAAGATAAATTTTTAATTAATGGTGTTGAAATGAGTGTTAAATTGGTTCGATCAAGAGAGAGTTTTAATTTAATTGTTGGGTCGAACGATGTAAAGTTTAAAGTTTGCATTACGGACGCAACTCTTATTGTGCGACGAGCACGAATTAATCCAAGTGTATTACTCGCACATCAAAAAGTTTTAGCTTCTACCACTGCTAAATATCCTATTACTCGAGCTGAAGTAAAAGTTTTAACAATTCAAGGAAAAACTCTTGATAATATATTTTTAGGACAGGTACCGAAAAGATGTATAATTGGATTTGTGAACAATTCTGCATTTAATGGTTCCCTTACTAAAAATCCATTTAACTTTGAAAACTATGGTATTAATTCTTTCAGCTTATATATTGATGGTCAACAAATACCTTCAAAAGCTTTGCAACCATCTTTTAATAATAGCATATTTACATCAGCATATCATACTCTATTCTCGGGAACTGGTATTCACTTTCTTAATGAAGGAAATGGAATCTCTTGTGAACAGTATGGCAAAGGTTACTGTCTATTAGCATTTGACTTAACTCCTGATTTATCAGCTAACTCATCAACTCATTGGAATCTCATAAAGCATGGTAGTGTAAGAATAGAAGTACGATTTGAATCCTCATTAATACAAACAATTAACTGTATAGTTTATGCTGAGTTTGATAATATTATTGAGATAGATAAAAACAGAAATGTTACTGTAGACTATAGTAGTTAAGGTTATAATATGTGTTGTGTGTTAGATTTTATGTGTTATGTGTAATGCATTTTGTGTGTATGTAACTATGTGAAACGTTATAAAATTAAATAAAACAAATTGTATGCAATATATTTTTTTTATTTCTTTATAAATCTTCTATTTAATCTAATACAAAACACTGTTCGAGTTGAAATTTTACATAAGCACACTGACTAAACCACTGAACATGCTGCTGCCAAGGATCATCATCATCTTCCCAATCTTTTAAACCACCACCACAATGGAAACACTTGGTCCCGTCTGCATGGCCAGTATAAAAGAAACCAGCTTCGGCAAGATCTTCAGGTTTCTGTCGCATAACTAGAGGCCAGTTTTCGAAACTAAGCAAACGGCTAGATTTTGAACTGAAGAATGGATATTCAGCTCTTGAGTACTGCATACTCTTCTCGTTTTCTTCTCCACTCAGTGTTGTAGTTTTGTTATTCAATGATGTGTTTTGTACACGTATGCCACACTCATCTCTTCCTTCCGCTCTTGTCTTCCTGTAATTGAAGTAAACAGAATCACATTCACTAATGATCAGCTAATGACTGTCATTGTTAAAAAAGTATTTTTTAACTTTTTCACTTTCTGCTATTGTCTTTGTTATATTGTATACGAGGGCGTTTGTATTGTCGTAGATGCTATCCTTATTAGTCTTTACGTAATATTTAATTCTCGTGGAAGCATGTTTCCAATGATCAGTAGTTGGAATCTTGGATAGCTTCTTCATATCGTACATTTCAATTTTGATGAGATGCGTCGCTTGGTCTCCGTCGTCAGAATTAGTAGAAATGTATGATACACCATCTCTAGCGGCTCGTGCTACGGTTGATGATAACAGCTTCCTCTTTTTTATTTTTGATTCAGCTTCAAAAAAATGATCAATCGATTGCGATTTTCTTTTTCCACCATCGCATGTGTTATTATTAATAACGAGGTTATCACTCTCTTCTTGAGGGGAGAGTGGCGAGTAGTAATACTGTTTATAGGTATCTTCATCGAAGCTCAATGATTTCTGCAACAACACAGTTATCATGTTAATATCAATTTGTTAACACTTAATCATAAAAGTTAAAAAAGTTAAAGTTACAGCCTATTAAAGTCCACTGCTGAACATAGGCCTCCTCTCATTTCTGAGAGGGTTTTAGAGCAAGGAAATGTCCGCCGCGCTCCTTCAATGTGTGTTGGCGAACTTCACATGCCTTCGAAATTTTCTCAGACATGCAGGTTTCCTCACGATGTTTTCCTTCACCACCAAGCACGTGGTAATAAGCACTTAAAATTGCTATTAACAATTTAATTGGTGCTGGCGGGGATCGAACCCGGGTCGCGTACTGTGAAATTTACAGCTAGCGCTAACCATCTGAGTTACCACGGCTTAATCATATACATACACAATATTTAAATAAAATAATACACACACATGAAAATAACAGAAAAAAAGTAATTTAGTCAATAGAATAAACACTTACATCCATAGCCTTTGGTGTATTGAAGTAACACAAATGTACTATTGATAGATCCACTGTAGCCAAACGACCGTACACTAACTCGATGATTGCGTTTGTTGGTCTTATATACCACCAGTACGTAAAAATTCTAATCTAAAGTATTTCCGTAATGAGTTGATAATTACTTTATGCGTCAACCAGTTTATCTCACATTTCCGTTGCCTATCTCAACATTTCTTCGTATTGTGTTTTGTTTGGTGATCAATGACTCAAGTACGATTTGTATAACACAAAAATGCAATTTAATATTTAGAAACATATCAGTTTATCTCACATTTCCGTTGCCTATCTCAACATTTCTTCGTATTGTGTTTTGTTTGGTGATCAATGACTCAAGTACGATTTGTATAACACAAAAATGCAATTTAATATGTAGAAATCACTATAATTGACCATTCCTATGTTATTCATTGAGTAGCTAGGTACTGTAATAATCTACTAATAGCAGTAATATCATGGATACACTAGATGTACAACAACATCTGAAAAAGATTCACCCCAGTCTAGAAAATAATGTTTATGCAGCTAATAGACTGCCTATGTATACCCACGTACCAACGTATATAATATGTAATTTGGATACAGATGATAAACCAGGGTCACATTGGGTAGCTTTATATATCGATACGAATGACGTCGGTCAATATTTTGATTCATATGGACGATCACCTGTACGATATCATCTAGAGTTTTTAAAAAGGAATTGTAAAAGATGGAACTGGAATGTTGATAGGATTCAGAATGAGTGGACTTCAGTTTGTGGCGAATATTGCTTAATGTATTTGCTATATAAGTTTCAAGGATGTTCAATACATAGTTTTACGAGTATATTTACAAGGAACACATTGTACAACGATATTTTAGTGGATGAGATGTTTCGCTCCTATTTTATAGATAATAATTAATAAGATTTTGTATTTTATAAATAAAAATTGTAACAAAATTATGTAATGTGTTTTATTGATGATTCAGATTAGCGTTGTATAAACAAAGAATTATAATAAACAATAGCACTGATATAGTCGACGCACACGCTGCAAGGAAGGTGATTAATGAACAATAGAACAATAGAAATAGGAACAATGGGACGCTAATGACGGTGGAGGCCCTTACCGGATATCAATTAGATATTAGCTAATTGATCTACACATCTCCGGAACCGTGCATTCTACACAAAAATGGACCGCGGATTCGTGATCAGAGCATGCCAAAACCTTTTTTTTTTTTTTTTAGGATCGGGCGTCGACGAACGTCGTTGAACCACGTCTGACTCAGGTGGTCTAGAAGTGGTACAACTACACTACTAACAGCTTTTCTAAATCCAATACGGGCCTTGGCTTTTCCAAGAAAGGGCAAGTTAGCAAGTTCTGCGCTACCTGCAAACTGAGTGCAGAGCTTATACCGCTCCACCATACCAAACTGTTTAATTTGTTTTGGATAACTTTTCCGCCATGTGTTTGTTCCTTAAGTCTTTTCAGCAAAATTTTTCGACTCCCTATTGCACATATGACGAGTAACGATTCATTAATTAAATATTTCACCTCAGCATACTGCATACGCAAACTCAATTCCTCTTTGGACATCCAGTTCGCCGAAGTGCAATGTGCTGGCGTCAAGCAGGACAACTTGAAGAAAAGGCACGCATTCACGTGCGTTAGTATTGACGCCCATATTGCGATTGTGCTGTTGAAATAAAAAAAATATGTTCCTTTTTTAAATAAAATGCCTTCTCATAAAAATATTTTTAACGCCTAAAGTAAAGAAGGTCTGAAGGATAGAGAGGGTCAGTATAAATTACAGGCTGTGAGGCTTACATCTTGGTACTCGGCGGCGACAATGTATCTGTAGCCATAATCGTTTAAAGTGAGGTGCGAGTTAAAATGGACGGCAGTAGCCACTCACCATCAGGTGGATAGTATGCTAATTTGTCACTATAGTCTTATAAATAAAAACTTTCTTACGTAGTGTCCGTCTCGATATGTACAGGCCTGGGTACTTTTACCTAATTTTTCAGTCAAGCAGCAATCCATTCACTGATGTAGTGTGGTCAAGAAAGGAATAGAGAGTCAGTATCTATAATAATTGCAAGCTCTGAGATATTCCACACAGTTGAAAACACCTGCAGACTACTTTACTTTGGTGAAGGTAGAGAACCGGAGACCCTTTTTACTGGAAAAGAGGTATTCCATTCTAGTCGTCGCGGGTGACAACGCATCTGCATTTTGATTCGCAAACGAGGATAAATGTAGATGTCTATGGGCCACAACAACCACTTACCATCAAGTGGACTGTGTGCTCGTTTGTCACCCTATCCTATAAAAAAACTGTTTGAAGTCGGTTGCAGGTCCCTGCAATAGGTGATGACTGCATTAGGTACTAAATGCATCGGGTACTAAATATATAATGGATTTGATAAAACGTTACTAATACTATCTACAGGCAAGGCAAATTGATATTGTTAGTACAAAAAATAGTTTGGAAAATCCAAAAGTGCACGTTTCATGAGCGTTTCATTTAATTTTGATGAAAAAAAATTATATTCCTGACTTTTAGAATAAGTATATTAGGTATTTAAGTGTATTAAATTTAGCGCTCTATTATTTTAACAGATAGTGTTACCTACAGGGAAAAAATGCTTACCAAAATAAATCGATTACACTAATAAGTATAAAATCGATATAGGCTGTATGGTACATTTGTCCTTTGTCTAACAAATATTAAATAATATATGACAGCGCAGCGCCTTTAAAATTTTAATAGCAGTAAAACCACAAACTAACTAGAAACACTCAAGTAAAACTTATAAAAGTTTAAAATCATTTTATTAACACACTACGCATACTAGGGTAGGATATGAAATAGGAAATCAGTTAAAAAAAGTTGATGTAATTCTGAAACTAATAAAAAACTACCCGGTCTCGATACCAACGTCAATTTTTTCGAGAGTTAGCGTGACCACATACAAAATCAACACGCGGACGTTCTTGTAATTTTTTTTTAAAAGTAGCAATATACAATTATTTTTTTAGAAAATATAAGATGGATTAATTAGTGTTTTCTTAATATACGGCTCATATTATAGTTTAAGTGCAATAAGGTTATGATAGAAGCATTTTAAGAACACAAAATTGCTTGAACTTGACGTGTCGAGAGTAAAACATACCTTTAACGCTTGCGTTATGAGGCGTGCAATATTACCTATAGTACACTACACATGTTACATTAAATAGACAAATGAGGCAAATAGGTACGAATTAACATTGATTATTATGACTTTATGCATTTTATACATATGAACCAAAGGTAATCCATAATGTTATTGCAATTTTTGGGCGTTCGACTTCGGTTTCACTTAGACCTGACAAACATAAATGCATGCACGAAACTAATAACTATGTACTTACTTTAGTTTGAGAAATAAGTTAGCCGTCCCGATAGATATTTGTCTGTGTTGCCTGTAAGTGAAGAGATAAGTGATCCTAAAGAGCTGGGGGGTCCGGAGATAACAGAAGAGTGAATTTATTAGTCTCGGACTTAAATTCATGGCAAAAGCTATATAACTTATTGGTAAAATAGACAAGAAATCCCGTCTTCTAAGAAATACTTTAGAGAAATACCTAAAAGAAAAAAAGATTCAAATATAGTTTAATATAACATTAAATCTTTTCTTTATCTAAGCTCGCTAAAAGTCCCGTGCTGGAGATCGGACTCTCGCATCAGTCGACTTGACAATCGCAATTCTCTCGCACTATTTTTAACGTGTTTTTTTTTATTCTATTATAATTTAAGGGACATTTACCGCTTAGCGTATGTCAGTCCCATCATACCCTAATATACATGTCTTACACCTATAACGTTACTTAATACTTATTATACAACGTGGGCCATGGATTCGAACAGAACTTTCGCATCGTCGCCATTTGGTTGGGATAGAATATTATGGAATGTGCCTATGTCAGTTCTGTTCAAATTGAAATGAAATTACTTCTAATAGACTCAAATCGAACACATTCCATCAATATATGGTATAGGTCTTCTTATTAACGCTGTTATCCGCCCTTACCTCGGTATTTCGAGTAATGAGTTGGTTTTACTGCAATGTATCGGAAGGCATAAGATTTTTTGGCATTTCTCATAGACACCTGTTAAAACATCCACGAAATAGGGTAACGGATTAATTTACACCGCCACCGCACGACTAATGACGTGTAAATGTGATATCATGATCATCATCATCATCATCATCATTAAAACAACTCATCATAATTTCCCGAACGAGTTTTACTTTCTTCGTACCATCAGCAGTGAAGTACCAAAATTAGATTCCGTAAACATATTTACAATACTTATAGTATGTTTTTCATCGCCCCTAAATAGAGCACCTTTATTTACATGGGGAAAAGCCTACGCATACCCGCCGCGAGGGGCAAGGACGTGTTATGTTGGACTCGCACCGACTTAAACCCCATGGTGTTCCACCTTCGCCGCATATTGGCAGGGCCACGGGAACGCTTTCGCAAACACCCGCGGCGCCACCAGCGCCGGCCGCCCCATGGCAGCCCCTTCTCGGACGAGGACCTCTCTTCCCCATTCTCCTTCTCAGGCAAGGCGTACCAGGAACACAAGGCACGCCCCCCTCCCTGTCCTCCAACTTCACCAGAGTATCGGACCCCCCTCCCCCGAGTCCAATACGCGGAGGCCATGGGGCCAGGAAAATCGAGAGCTTAGTAGCACCCGCTTCCCGACTCACGCGGTGCATCTGGTCTCTGGCTCCGCCGCCAATCAAGTTTCGGCCGCGGAGGGTAGGGAGAGCGGCGCCTCGCGATACCGACACTCCTCTCCTTCGCGGCCCCGCCACCACCACATCAACGGTGTGACCCCGTCAGAGTCGCGGAGGATAGGGCGAGTGGCGCATAGTTAAACCTAAATAGAGTACCTACCTACTATTGGACATTTGCCTTTACAGGAGCTTTGGCCTTTACAGCATCAGACCTTTTGCACATTTGACGCTTGCCACTGAGTATTTTACCCGACTGACCCCAGAAGGAGGGTAATGTTTTTCAAATTTATGTATGTATGTACATATGTCTATTTCTTTGGCACGCTCTGTGGCTTAAAATTACTTGATCTACCATGTATCCGCATATATGGGTGTCATTAGAATTGTCATAGCTGTATAAGTGACATAAGATCTCTTTTCTCTTTTTAGTAAAATTATTACACAGTTATACCTATCTGGCGTACCTATACAAAAGGAATAAACGCCAATTTTTTTCTTGGATTTCCCATAGTTGCCTCTTACAGCACTCCCAAAAGGAATTATAGAGTTCTCCCTCCTCCCACTTCGCGGCACATTATATAAACTTTTAAATTAGTAAGTTCTAGTTCTAATTAGTACCTAGTACCTAATACTCACATTTTTCGCACTTTCTTTGGATTAAGAATATAGTCTCCGTAACGATTGGTATAACCTGTATGTAGATCTAGGAAGACCTTATAAATAAAAATTGCATCGAAAGAAGTGCAAATGTAAAAGAAGTAAACGTTTGACAGAAAAGCCATCTGGTACACAAGGATCATGAAATCTACGTATGAGAGGAACATTATGAGATAATCTGAAAAACATTAAGAAAATAAATACAATTTACTGCTAAAATTAGTATATATTAGAAAATGTGTAGATTTCACCATGAAAAAACCTAAACTAGTTCTTATGAGGGTAAGGACACTGGAATATTTAAAGATAAGAGAATACCTATCCTGTGCTGTTGATAGCTTCCGATTATATGAAACTTGTCGCTGTTCTCGAAAGTTTGGTAAGAGTATCATCAACTAACATATTGTTTACATGCGGACAAGTTTAGTTACTTTTTAATGAAAATACATACATACATAAACACGCCTGTCGTCCAGAGGGGTAGGCAGAGACCAAAGTGTATATAAATCACCACGTTTAGCAGAGACTACGGACACGATCCTGCCACACTACTGGGTACTGCACAACTACACACTTTATGGTACTCTTAATTTAGCACATCTTAAATATATCGCCAATTTGGTCGATAAATTTTCTTCTCCCATCTCTTGCCGACTCTGCCACTGACAAGTTTAACAGTAATGTTGGTGGCACTTGTTGCCACCAACTGATAAGCATTACTGTTAAACTTGTTAGCACCAGCTAGTAAGTATTATTTGGTAGATTTTCCCATACTCACGATATCCCCATATCACAAACAAAGAGCTGAACTCTCGCATAGGTAATGCCCTATTACCACTCCTAATTCAGTTCATCTTCAATATATCGCCAAATTGGTCCATAAACTTTCACCTGGAGCATCTTTTGCCGACTCCGCCACTATCTTTTACTTTTTAAGGTTTGTGGTGTTTATTTTAAATCATCATCGTTAAATTTCCAGTGCACGGAAAATGATTCAAGTTTGATATCCAGTTTATTTTATTTTTTTATTTATTTTATTTTTATAAAACGTTACCCCCACACTAGGATTTTCTCCTGTGTCGTGGAGGCAGTTTACAAACATAAATTGCACAAGGATAAACATAAAGACCCGGAACAATTACTTGTAGGCCATACAAATACTTGTTTCGTGCGGGATTCGAACCCGCGGCCCCCAGCGCAACAACTCATTGCTAAGCCACTGCCCACCACACCACAGAGCCTTTGGTCATATGTGGCGGCTCAAATTGCATTGTTTAGCGCATTAAAAATTAGGTAGCTACTAACTTACACGTACCTACTCGACGTTGAAATAACTTCACCTGTATTACTATGAAATAGAAAATACTATTTCGAAGATATGGTAATACAGGTAAGGTTATAGGTTTCAGTAATGATTTGAATTTTTTGACAACAATTAAAATAAATTGAAAAAATTACCCATAAAAACCACAAATTTTGAATCTGGTACAACGCTACTGCGGAACCATCTGCAAAAATATTTTATTTATTTATTCAGACGTTATAAAAGGCATGGCAGCTCATATGCGTGGCATCACTTTAAACTTTGCCGAAATCAAAGTAATTAATTACAAATAACTATTTCATTGGCGCCGGCGCCAATAAAACTGTTATTGGTAATTAATTACTGACGTACCACGTATGTGGAGTTTAAGAAAAAACATATGTACCAGAGAAACCGGTATATTAGAGAAATCAAAGAAGTGAAGTCTGTCTGGAGTATTATTTATACTTCAATGTAACTTTGCATTATTATGTTAATGTAACAGATTTATTATGAAATGAAAACAATAATTCTATTGTAGTTTTATAAATTAAGTACATAGTTGACATAATAATTATGTAAACAGAATACTAGCACACGACGGTATTTTCCATTTTCTCGTTCAGTATTACTCAATATGTTAAAGGCACATAACCGGTGCGTGTTGCCCGTGATGGTTTTTTTTATAGGATAAGGGTGACAAACGCGCACAGAGTCCACTTGATGGTAAGTGGTTGCTGTGGCCCATAGACATCTACATTTATCTTCGATTACGAATCAAAATTCATATGCGTTGTCACCCGTGAGGACTAAGATGGAATGCCTCGTTTCCAGTGAAAAGGGTCTCCGGTTCTCTACATTCACCATACGAAACACAGCAGCATTAAGCTGCTATTTTACGCTAGTATTCTGTGAGAGCGTGATCCTGCCCCGGTCGAGCCGACCCATTCGTGTTACAACTATACCAGAAATATAGCTGCAGCATGGCTCTACCACGTTAATCACTGCTGGTCGTATGAGATTGGATGACCGTTTGCGGCAGTGTTCGTAAGACCTATGCCGCCGTGCCAAGCGCTTAGCCCATGGTAGCTCTGGGCTTAAGCACACACTGTAAATTTCACAGCAATTCATTTTAAGCCTTCATTTAACACGTTCTCGGCGGTTAAGGAAAACATTGTGAAGAAACCTGTATGTCTGAGCAATCAGTTTACCACGGATTGGGTTCGTGCAGTGGATACCTACGTCCTTGCCCTAAAATACCTCAGAAATGAGAGGAGGCCTGTGCTATAGTGGAACGTATACCAGCCCACTGGTACTTTACTTAAGGTCAATTATGGTGTTGTGTGTTATCATAATTACTGGTGGTAAACTGTAATTATGATAACACATATGAAGAAGATGTCGTTATCATCATCGCATGGTATACCGTCGTCTTTTATATCAACAATCAATATTCGTTATCTATACTGCTTGGTGTTAATATTACCAAGTATTGTATATCAGTCCACACAATACCTCGTTTGCAGTAGAAACTCAGGTTCACTACACTCACCATACAAAACACAGCAGCATTAAGCTGCTATTTTAGTATGGTATTCTGTGAGAGCGTGGTCCTACTCGTACTCTGGTCGAGCCTACCCATTCGTACTACAACCAACAGAGCTGCAACGTAACTCTACCACGTACAAATCTCAACCTTCCGCAAGCGCAATAAAAAAAACTATAGTCCATTTTATTTTGAAAATATCTTCTTTACTTTTATCATAAAACCCTTACAATTTGGAGATATTTTTAATGGGTTACTCCTTTTCTACTTAGGTGTTCGTGTAAGTACCACCCTGTAACGGGCCGGCTGTACCGTTCGCTACTGTTCTGGCGGTAGAAGTGTTTCGGTCCAAAGAACATAGAGGTTGTGAGGCATCCAACCTTAGTCCTCAGAGGCTACTACGTAGAAGTAGAAGTTCTGGTTAATTCAATTCTGATTTTTTTCTTAAAAAATTCCGCTCATGATGAGCTTACCTGTGCGGTTTAAATAATAAATACTTCGCAGCAATAAATTCAGCGTTGCCTGCTGACGTAACAGATCTTGAGCCATGAGATGCTATACTTTTTTCGGGACTCTGCAAGTAGTTAAGCTAAGTTTATTTCATTATTTGTGTTTTTGTCAAATTACTGGATATTGGATGGATAATGGATTCACAAAAGTAAGAGTGACAAGCAAACAAACAACCCATGCTGCATACAAGCTGTGTACGAGCTGTATTTAAGTTCGTTTTTATCCCAGAGACTGTATTTTTTGACCGTATAAAGGGTGTATAAGCGCTTATACAGTTCTTATAAGTAAATAAATAGGCACAAATTATATAGTTTTATGCGTTAGTAGTGCTGTACAGTAGCAATACAAGCATAAAAGAGGCTGTATAACAGCTGTATTACAGCTGTTATTTGGTGTGTAAGGAAACTATTACACTACTATTTAACAGTGGTAGAGCCACGCGGCAGCTTTTGCGGTCGCACGGATGGGCCTGCTCAAACCGGGGTGGTACCACGACCTCATAGAAAACCAGCGTGAAGTAGAGGTTTACCTCTGCGTTTCGCTTGGTGAGTGCAGGTGGCCGGAGGCCTTTTTTACTGGAAATGAGGCATTCCATCTTAGTCCTCACGGGTGACAACGCATCTACATTTTGATTTGTAATAGAGGATAGATGTAGATGTCTATGGGCCGCAGCAACCACTTACCATCCGGTGGACTGTGTGCTCGTTTGTCACTCTTATCCTATAAAAAAAAAACTACAGATATTCTTACAAGTTTATAAGTAACTTTTAAATATAAGCGTTCTAAATTGGGTTTTGAACGGAATTACAAATGAATATAAAACAAAAAGGATATACTGGCTACTATAGATATGGTGGCGTGATAAAAAAAATTAACATCATAAATATACTTGGATAGGAGTTGAGTTTTGATGATAATTGGTGAATTGAAAGTGCAAAATTAGATTTACGGTAAATTTGTGTATGTTCTCTATCAAAAAATTGCGGCGCGAGCAGAATAACCAAATAATATAAGGACAAAACACAATAAGGTAAATATCAGTTATATAGGTTAGAATAAAAAAATATATTAAGTTTATGTATGGCACATTGGGGCACAGTGATCATTAATAAAACTGAAAATAATGGTATATATTAAAACTAATGTCTAATATTCCTAAAGTTATATTTTAAATGTTTTTATGGGCCTTAAAATGGCGACAATTTGCTAAAAGGCCTAAACGGTATTTCGAGGGTCTTATAGTCTTAGTAGGTAGCTGTACTGTGTATGTTATGGATTCTAACATGCAACCATTGGTTTTTAGTCAGGTTTATAGTATATTATTTTTATTTTATTACAATGACACCATAAGAATAAGTTTTAGAAGAGAGTTTGCATACACCATTGCCCAGAAGTAAGATTTTAGTGATACTATAATAACACTTAGAGCTGTATTAGCAAGGGACAGCATGCAAAAAACAGCTTCTATACAACTTTAATGAAAAAATCAGATTAGAGTGTTCAAGATACTTAAAGTTGTATACTAGAGTTTTCATATTCTGATTAAGAACCCTAAGCTTACTTAGATCCTTTTGTACGTGGTAGAGCCACGCTGCAGCTATATTAATAGTATAGTTGTAGCACGAATGTGTCGGCTCTACCGGGGAAGGACCACGCTCTCACAGAATACCAGCGTCAAATAGCAGTTTAATACTGCCGTGTTTCGTTTGGTGAGTGTAGAGAACCGGAGACCCCTTTTACTGGAAAAGAGGCATTCCATCTTAGTCCTCACGAGTGAAAACGCATCTCCTTTTTGATTCGCAAACGAAGATAAATGTAAATGTCTATGGGCTACAGCAACTACTCACCATCAGGTGAAGTGTGTGCTGTTTGTCACTCGATCGTATAAAAAAAAGATCCCATAATACAGACTTTATACAGCTTGTGCTGTTTACTAACTCATAAACCACTCTAATAACGATACTACTTCTTTTCAACACTTTTATACGCTTCAAAAAGAACTCTAAATTCTATGTGAGTTGATATATCGATGTTTATAACGCTTGTGTGCTACTTGGGAATGACTTACCTGATACTGTGGTACAAGGACACCCCATCCCTCCACAATTAGGAATTAATAGTGCATAATAATGCATGTGCGTTGTCACACTACCTACTAATATTGAATGCCTCGTTACAAGTGAAGAGGGTTTCCGATTTTCGAAATTTACTATCACCATACAATATATAGAAGCATTTGCTGCTATTTCACGCTAGTATTATGTGGTCCTTCCCCGATCGAGTCGAATTATTTATGCTGCAACCGTAGCTTTTTTTAAATAAGTGAAAAATGCACTACAGTCCACCTGATGGTAAGTGGCTACTGGCTACTGCAGCTCATGAATGCCTTCAGTTAACTTCAAAGAAGGCCAGAGATGCGTTGCCGTTGCATTGCTCTGAGGACTTGGATGGAATGCATCACAGCTTGTAATCATACTGGCTCTGTAACTGGTACTATAATATACCTAGCAACTTACCTTACCTTAGACTGTAGCACTGTAGTTCATGCACTACTTTTTTGCGACAGAAATCCGTAAGTGGGTGGTATCTAACTAGAAGAAATCATTGGAAGAAATGGAGTAAAAAAGCTGCAGCGTTCCTCTTATTCATTGCTTTGCTTAGTCGTTCGTTATCTATATAGCAGAACATCATGACTACATTGTTAAATATAAGAAGTTACTGGAAATCGCCACATAGCAGCTGTTGATGTGTACAATAATTTAAAATTAAAAATGTTGTACAACCTACTTCAATATAAATTATTGAGAATAACTCGAAAACTATTGGTCACTCCTTGATCAAATTTATATGGGACCACATGAGAAGCACCAGCTTTCAAATAAAAATAGAATCATCGAAATCGTTTCATCCAGAAAAAAGTTATGAAGTAACACATATAAATAAACAAAAAAAACATACAGTCGAATTGAGTAGTCTCCTTTTTGAAGTCAATAGAAAATGATGGCTCGGTGCGGCTGCAGAAGAGCCACATTCTCACACTAAGTAGGAGTGAAATACCAACATAATGCTGCTGTGTTTCATATGGTAAGTGAAGTGGTAAGTGATGAGAATCGGAACCCGTTCGTAATCGTTAAAAGAGAATTCCTTCTAGTGCTCAAGGTTGAAAACGCGAAATTATTTCTTCCAAGTAGTAGATTTTATAAGTAATATGGCCGGCTTATTACCAATTTAGTTTACTGAACCACACAAAATAAAGATGCTAACAGTTTTAGTATGTTGGTAACATTCAGTAACTTTATATTTATCTATTCTACTATATATTTTTGAGTTCATCTTACATCGATATTTGTATTTACATCCTGTACGTCGTCTTCATCTGCCCCTGATTCGTAGGTTAAGGAAAATGGCTGTGTCTGAAAGGTGCCCAAATATTTTTTTTTATTTTGATATGCAAGTATTTCAAAAATGTCAAAAAGTCTTAAAATATTGTGTACTGAATTTATAAGGTTTTTAATAAGTCTTAGTAAGTAACAAGTCACTACATGATATTAAGGGTTAAAGTATGAAATTGCTGTTTTAATTTGAAAAACAAAAACTCCCTTTTTACTAAGAAAAGATGTATTTATTAAATGGAAGTATTTACTCTCGTAATTCATGTATTTCTGATATTTCGAAGGACGAGAAACCATTTCCGTCTTTATATTGCAAAAACGGAAATGAAATCTCTACTCTACAAAGTCTGAATGCATTTTGTACCGCTCCCTGAGAATATTTTTTTCCTAGTAGAAAATTGTCCGAATTGCTTAAAAATTTTAATCGCTTTGGGGCTAAATCTAGCGAGTACGGAGTGACGTTTTTTAACTTCAGGTCTTGTAATGGTAAAACGTTTTGTAAAGCAATGTGAGGTCTGCGTTATCGATAGAAGGGTCGGGGTTGTTTCTCTGAGAGTTTCGCCATCATTGTTTGAAGTTCTTCACAATAGACATTTACTGTTATTGATATCTAAAACTGATTTCAAAAAGCTATAATGAATTACACTATGAAGTGACCACTAAACAGTTACCGTCACTTTTCTATGGGTGAGCCTTGATTAAGGGCATTGTTTCGGCGTTTGACCAGGATTCGGCTATTGCGTTTTCTATTTGCGATTATCGTAGACAATCCATTTTTTATCACACATCACAGTTCTGTCCAAAATTTCTGTACTCATCAAAGTAAGGCAAGCCTCGACATATCCTCCTCTCAGTATATCGCTTAATTCATGAGGCACCCATTTATTACGTTATTTTATTTTACCGATTTTATGTAAATTAGCTAATATTGTGGATAACCTAAGTCAAACCAAGACGCTATTTCCATGGTTGTTTGATAAAGATCGGCTTCCACTATTACCTTTTTACGTGTTTCATTCTTCAAGTCGAAGTTTTCACTACGAAATCGATTGAATCAAAAAAACGTATAGTGCGTTCATTAGTCGTATCCTCTCCAAAAGCAGCATTGATATTGCCAGCGGTCTCTGCTGTGTTAGAAACTCTTATTCGAAAAATTACTCTGACTTTTGATGATTCCATGTTTAACTCAAATACTGAATGTACTTAAAAACAGTTGACAGGCAAACAGTACTTAGGTTTTTGTGTAAAAACTATTTAATCACGAATCTTAGATCTTACTGGTTTGATTGTTTATTTGTGGCTACTCCATTAAAACGGCAACTTCATTCTCTAACCCCTATTACTATATTATATTAGTGTTATATTCTGTGTAGTGGCGGTGTAAGAATATCCACTACCTCATCCCGTGGGTGTCGTAAGTAAATTAAAAAACTTTGGTTGCCAATCCGCTCGCCAAGCATGGTAACTATGGCAAATATCACCCTACAAGCCAATCTATGGAGGATAACGGTAACGGTAATAGTGTAATAAGTGAACGCTAGACATTAACGAAGGCATTCTATCATACGTTTGCTCGATGTTAGGCTCACGCGAAAAAAACGCAGTTAGATAACAAAAATAAAACCGAAAACTAACAATTTGAATTTTGCACGAAAGCTGCGGTATGGGTTCGAACGCTGACTCGCGTCGTCGTCGTCGTTTTACAAATAGGCCACGCCGTAATTTTATATTATTTCTCAGGCCTGGTTATTTGGTTTTACTTCAATTTATGATTTCCGCTACACAGTAATGGTGCGTGTTGGTTAAATTAAATATATATATTGTATGTATTAGTATAGTTGTAGTACGAATGGGTCGGCTCGACCGGAGAAGGACCACGCTCTCACAGAATACCCAAAATAGTATCTTAACGCTGCTGTGTTTCGTATGGGTGAGTGTAGAGAACCGGAGACCCTTTTTACTGGAAATGAGGCGTTCCATCTTAGTCCTCACGGGTGATAACGCATGTGCATTTTGATTCGCAAACTAGGATAGATGTAGATGTCTATGGGCCGCAGCAACCACTTACCATCAGGTGGACTGTGTATTCGTTTGTTACCCTTATCCTATAAAAAAAACTTCATTAAATGTAACTAAGAGCTAACTTACTAAACTTGTCTTTTCAGACATAACCGTTGGTAAAACGTAATCTTTAGATGTCGAATCGAATGACTGCTTCACTTTTTGCAAGACAGAGGGGTAACTCTGAAAAATAAAACTATAAAATACTATAGAATACCCTATTGGCAATGTCACAAGTTCAAGTTAACAACTAGAATTTCGTTTAAATAGTTACATTAAAAACCTCGTCCTCTATTTTTTCAACCTTAGGGGTGGAATCTTTTCTACAACCCAAGAATACCTATTTCATTAAAGAATATGTTTTTGCTTTTATTAAATAAACCTGAAATCGGTAACATACTTATAAAAACATACGCGTCAAACATAAAACCTCATTGTTTTGAATTCGGTTAAAATGTGAACTTTATTTTTACTTAACAGAGGTAGAGCCACGCGGCAGCTTTTGCTGTCGCACGGATGGGCCGGCTCGAACCGGGGTGGTACCAGGACCTCACAGAATACCAGCGTGAAGTAGAGGTTTACCTCTGCGTTTCGCTTGGTGTGTGCAGGTGGCCGGAGGCCCTTTTTACTGGAAATGAGGCATTCCATCTTAGTCCTCACGGGTGGCAACGCATCTGCATTTTGATTCGCAAACGAGGATAGATGTAGATGTCTATGGGCCGCAGCAACCACTTACCATCATTAGTGGACTGTGTGCTCGTTTGTCCCCCTTAGCCTATAAAAAAAAAACTTATAATCGGTAAGTGTTAAAAATATACGAATAAGATTTTTAACACTGAACCAAAGTTACTTATTAGAAAGTGACTTATCTAGAATATTTTTCTATGTGTATATTCTGCATGATGTTTTAATTATTTGTTAATATTTTTTTTTAAACTGCGCTTGCCAAATCGCTTGTCAAGCTTGGCAACTGTACGGCAATCAACGGGGAGGCCTTTGTGCAGCGGTGGATTTTAACTGTAGTATTATCTAACTAACTACTGAATTTTGGTATTTGGTTAAATAAGTGTAATATGTGATATTATCTATACAAATAAATAAAATTGAAGTGTCTGTTTGTAATATCAAAATTAACAGCTTTTTACTATTTGCAGATGAAATGCGGTACTAATAACAAAAATACATATTTTAAAGTTTTTGTCTGTCTGTCTGCTTGTTCCGGCTAATCTCGGAAACGGCTGGACTGATTTTGACGGGATTTACACTGGCAGTTAGCTGATGTCACAAGGAGTAACTTAGGCTACTTTTATTTTAGAAAAAGAATTAGGGTTCCGCGCAAAAAAATTAAAACCCCAAATAACACGCGGAACAGCTGGTTATACTATATTTTATAACTAGCTGGTCCCCGCGACTTCGCCCGCGTGGAATTTATTACGATTAGATTTTATGAGTTTTAAGTGACTCCTTTAACATACTTAAGCTATTTGCCAGTAAAAGTCCCGTTATAATCGGTCCAGCCGTTTCGGAGATTAGCCGGAACAAACAGACAGACAGACAAAAATTATAAAAATTGTGTTTTGGTTATAAGTACCGTATATACTTCTATATTTATTAAGTAAAAATCTGTTATTTTGACATTAAATTTCATTTATTTGTATAGATATAGACTGGGGCTTTTCATTGGATATTTTTTAAATAAAATTAAATTGACAAACGACTTTACAGAACACAATTTATTACTCATGGCTGCAGAAGCCCATGAGCACCTGCAAACAAATTCAAATAAAGAAGGCCACAGATGGGTTATCACTCCTGAGGAGGATGGAATACTTCACTTTCTGTAATTATATTGGTTGTCTACACCTTTCAGACCGAAACAGCAGTGCAAGCACTGCTATCTGGCGGCAGAAATAGATAAAATGGGGTTAATTACCAGCCGGATTATTATACTCGTAGCTACAGAAAAGGAGTTCTACCACCTAGACAGATTTTAGTAAGTTATTATCTATAAAAGGGAATAAATACTTCAGTTTTTCTGATTAGTATGGCTTATCTCCCTTATGAGGTCTATGTTCAATAGTGAAGTTTGGTATACTTAATGAAAGAATTTTGACCACCAGAAGCAATATATGTCTATGGGTCACAGCATCTACTTACCATTAGGTGAACTGCATGCGCGTTTCCTCTACATCGCCCTAATACTTAAAAAACGTGGTTTAAGTGAATCATGTCGGACCTCGTTTGTCCACAGAAGTTGTCATCGATTGTCAGCGGGGGTCACTAATATTTTTTTTTATTTTGTCTAGCACCTAGTCATTAGCACTCTCCCAAATAATGGTAGAGTGGTAAATTCGATGCAAGTGACGTTTTAATACAACTTAGAATTGTTTAAAATGTACTTGTTTAATAGTAACATTGTTTGTTTAATTGTTAAATAATTATAATTATATTACGCTATCTATGTTTATTTTCAATGTTTAAAAAAGGAAGCCTTTGATCATACGTAAATTAATGAAATTACCAGAACTGATTATTTGTTTGACAATTTTTAAATTTTAACTATTAAATTTATTGAATGAAACACACAACGTTATCTATGTTATTAATTTTGAGACATAATGATTTATACTCGTTTTGACATTACAATTTTAATTATTACTCTATTATATTTATTATATTATTATTGTGTGAATTATTAATATGTTAGTAGTGCAAATATACAAATAGGGTTATATTATGTTATTGTAATTATCAGAATTTTCCATTTTAATTATTAAAGAAAAACGTGTATTTAAGTAGTTTGCACACCGGAAGGTCGAATATGGCTGTATTTTTGTTAAATTATTAAGACCTTCTGTAACCCATATATAGCAAATGAATAAAATTAATTTGAATTTGAATATGTTTGAATTTTTCGATATCTTTAGCAGTTACGGAACAATAAGCAGTCGGTAATTCAACGTTCACCCTATATTCAAAATGTTTCTAAGTACGTAATATAATAATACATAATCTCAAAAAGCCTTTACGGTTATTCGACCCTTGTTATTATTGAAATTGCAATACTTACCTTCAAAATAGCATAAAATTCGGGACCTCGAATGCTTAGTAAGTCTATATTTCTAGACGCAACAATATTTGAAACTGTCCGGTACCTGGACACACCACGAATATTTCCAAATATTCCACCAGGGCCCATGCAAGCCTCCACCTCATTGCTGTCCGATATAATATCTACCTGTAATGTAAGTGTATATTATTTTATAAAAATTAAATTAGACACTTGTTTCTGGCCAGGAAGCAGTAATTTTAGCTTCGGCTGTATACAATTCCCGAACTTACCAACCATACTTTTTATCATCACTTGCCGACAATACTATTAAATTTTGAATAAAAATAAAAAGTTAAGTTAGGGCCTGGATAGAATGTTTACAAAGAAATGAAATCATACTGCTTATGGAAAAGACATTTATTAAGAACAACTTTCCGTATTTGAACGAATGATTTCATGGAACATATTTCACAACAACTTACTAATCTGAGACAGTAACTAAATGAACATCCTAAGCGCTTGTGTCATACATTGTGGGCAGTAAAAATATAGAAATTTAGATTAAGACAGTATCTATACAAATAAATAAAATTGAAGTGTCTGTTTGTAATGTCAAAATTACAGTTTTTTACTAAAGGCATATGAAAGTAAATACGGTACCTATAACTAAAATACAATTTTTAAAATTTTTGTCTGTCTGTCTGTCTGTCTGTCTGTTTGTTCCGGGTAATCTCCGAAACGGCTGGACCGATTTTGACGGGACTTTCACTGGCAGATAGCTGATTTCATAAGGAGTAACTTAGGCTACTTTTATTTTAGAAAAAGAATTAGGGTTCCGCGCAAAAACATAAAAACCCTAACACGCGAACGAAGTCGCGGGGAACAGCTAGTTATACATATATTACTTTGGAAGCTCTGTGACGCAGCGTGGTTTCAAGCTTAACGTAAACGATGTCTGTTAAGCAACCATTCATAATTGATTAGGACCGCACTATTAACCTTTTCGTTCTTAACCTTCATACTTGTTTACTTTTAGTTAGATGTAATGACCCAATTGATTACTTTGTTTTCCAAAAATAATGTTATTAGGCTACTAAGGTTAAGGTAAATCATAAGCTAAGATTTTTTACGTGGTAGAGCCAAACTGCAGCTATATTAGTAGTATAGTTGTAGCACGAATGGGTCGGCTCGACCGGGGAAGGACCACGCTCTCACAGAATACTAGCGTAAAATAGCAGTTTACCGCTGCTGTGTTTCGTATGGTGAGTGTAGAGAACCGGAGACCCTTTTTACTGGAAATGAGGCATTCCATCTTAATCCTCACGGGTGACAACGCATCTGCTCGATCTTTATGGGCCACAGCAACCACTTACCATCAGGTGGACTGTGTGCTCGTTTGTCACCCTTATTCTATAAAAAAAGCTAGGAAATTTAACAGTTTCGAAAGTAAAGCAGAAGTATTTTTTTAATATTAAAAAAAAACTATTTAAAATTGATTCGCCACAACCACAACCGATCGATCGCAAAATTACAATAAAAGAAACGTGATGCTAACCTTTCCCCGATAGATGATGTACATACTGCTTATAACCTCATTCGATCTTATAACCATATAGCCTTTTTGAAAGTAATTTTCCCTCAATTGCTTCGCAAAGGCTCTAAAGAAAGAATATTCCACATTTTCAAATAAAGGTATTTCTCGTAACGTTTTCTCGTACATGAACAACACAGCGTCTTCATTTAGGTTAGAGTGCAGTTTTCCTAGTATGGTTTGGTGCTAAGTAGAAGCAAATGTATTTTTTTATATTAGAATGATAAACGAGCTAAAGTCTCACCTTATTTTAAGAGTCAATTGTAGCCCATAGATAGATGGATCGTCATTCTTTAGAGCTAAGATAAAATGCAGTGACTTCAGTGCCTTCACTGCTGGCCGTATGAAGAAGCTCAAGGTCGCTCAGCGAGCTATGGAGAGGGCTATGCTCGGGGTTTCTCTGCGTGATAAAATTAGAAATAACGATGTCCGCAGTAGAACCAGAGTTACCGACATAGCCCAAAGGATTAGTAATATGAAGTAGCAGTGGGCCGGCCATAAAGCTCGAAGAACCGACAAGGGAAAGAAGAAGGGAAAAAAGGTTTTTGAGTGGCAACCTCGTACCGGCGGACGAAGTGTAGAGCGTCCTCCCAACCACAATTTTGGAACGAAGCTCCTTACTGGACGGTACGGAGTATCCACTTCTGCAAAGAAGCTCCTCGTAATGTGAAGGATGATGACGGAGATAATACTTTAGGTTTAATTTATACAGTACGAGTTGGCGTGCCTTCACTGACTTCTAGAAATATAATTTAACGCTCTGACATACAAGATATGTCATGATGCTTTTCTTTGCTTGCAAATAAGTTGCAAATCTGTACTTTAATTATAATTATTAATTTAAGGGGTATCGTCACCGGGAATTCAAGTGAATTTGTGCTTTTAACTTTTTATGCAAACATCTGGCCCGTACCTAACTGCTATAACAACGGCAGCCATGTTATATTTATTTATTTATCAGCAAGTATTTAAGTAGAGAGCTAATACAAATCCATATTTAAATGAGGTAAACATAAATACACTTCGAATTATGACAATAAATAGTGCTACAGAAAAGTTAATGTTCTACCCTCCGTATTAGTTTGCACTGTATTACCACAGTCTATAAATCCATAGTATTACGGCAGGCGCAGTCATCTTTCTCAAGGGCAACAACAATTATCACTTCACTCAGTCACAGAAAAAATAATAGTACTACGTACAGAAATTACACTCCTTTGATGTTGATACTTGCCGCCGTTTTAATTTCCCCTTCCTACGTCACGGACGATATTTCGTGGTTACCAAGGGCTTTCAACGAATAGTTAAAATACAGTACGTATAAAATAATACTTTTGATTATATATTTAATTGACAACTGTTTTACTTTAATATAATGCTTATATTTTGTTACAGTCTCTAAAATAACGGTTTTTAAATTTAAAAATGGATAAAATTAGTATTGGTTAATAATTTTAGTAAATTATTTGCTGGTTTTTTCATCATTATGTTTTCAAAATTGTATTTTCAATAATATGCATATAAATTGCACTAAAATTTATACAACTACTTTGTCCTATAACTAAGTATACTAAACAATTATTACAGTGGTAGAGCCACGCGGCAGCTCTTGATGTCGCACGGATGGGCCGGCTCGAACCGGGGTAGTACCACGACCTCACAGAAAACCAGCGTGAAGTAGAGGTTTACCTCTGCGTTTCGCTTGGTGAGTGCAGGTGGCCGGAGGCCCTTTTTACTGGAAATGAGGCATTCCATCTTAGTCCTCACGGGTGACAACGCATCTACATTTTGATTTGTAATAAAGGATAGATGTAGATGTCTATGGGCTGCAGCAACCACTTACCATCAGGTGGACTGTGTGCTCGTTTGTCACCCTTATCCTATAAATAAAAAACAATTAACAAAAATATTTATTAAAGAAAACTTTGAAATGCACTATAATTTTATAGTAAGCCGCTCGCCTAAAACGCACTAGCCCTGACTGCGTAAGTAATCTGAGGTTCTGCGCGATTGTAGGTTTCCGAATTTCTGCATAAAACAAGTATTATATATATGATATATTTAAATAATTGATCCTGGTTTGTATTTATTTATGTATTATGTTTGCCCATATGAAATTTTGGTGTATAAAACGCTTTCAGATTTTAAAGTAAATAAAAATAAAAATATTGGCACACGTTCTACTTACTGACCAGCCTCCTGTCCTTTTCCATTGATACTTCCAGTAGTCGATGACTGATCTTTTAAGCAAGAACGCAACTTTCTCTCTATTCAAAAACATTTCTAAATGTTTTAAATTTTCTTGAAACTTTGTTATCATCTGATCAGCCATAGCTTTTAGGGATGCCATTCGTGCATACACATAACTACAATTACAAGAATTCATTCGATACGTCTTAATTGATGATTCACTTCTAAAATGCAAAATAAAATATTATAAAAATAAATATAATAAAACCGAAATCGACCCACCCAAAGAACAAAACGCCATGTACGTTGGTACAAATGGAGAGGATCATGTGGGTGGTGTCCTGAGCAATGATATCACCGAAGCCGGCGCCGCTAAAACTTGTAGCAGACCAATAATAAGCCAAAAGATACGCCTTCATCGGCGTAATATTATTCATTTTAAATGTTTTTGCTTCATCTAACCAAGAGCCTGTGAGACATATTATGTTAGAAAATATAATTAATTTGCATAAAACCCGAATTGAGATAATACATACCAAGTCGACAAATCATATTTCCTTCGGGGTTATAAACAGCGTTCATTAATGGACCTTTTCTCGATAACATACGTACTCTTCGTTCAAACTCCCTTATATCGGGGGCTACCACATACGTACAGGACAATGTTATCAGGATCGATGTGTATAAATTTAAAAAGAATATTGTAAGTAAAATAAACTGGACTACGCTCATTAGATATGCCTGTAAACAAAGTTCGGGCATATGTGTAATAAAATATGGTACAGGTTTATTCATATCTTTTTTTAATCAATAGTTATAATGGTTATAAAGAATACCTACACGTTTTAGTGCGCCAATAGATTCTGTCCAAAAGGCAGCGTATAACTTATGAATCTGCAAAACGTTAATCATTCGTAACATACAATGATATAAATGACTATTGAAATAATGATCCTCTTTGCTGTGACTTTCATTATGCATCGGTACAAATATTTTCCATAAAGCGTACCAAGGAAAACATGTTAGGAAATCCGCTATGAACCCATTCTGAAATTGATTACAACGTTAATTTAGTATAATATTACAAGACGTATGAAGTAAGATTTTGTGTGTCTCTCTGACTACTCATGTGTTTGGCACTGGTGGGTTATATCATTAAGATTTTGATTTACTGATAAACTTGATATTAGAACACTTATAATAATAATATTAAATATATTTATTTGGAAAATGCGTTTTTGTGATAATCTGGCGGTAATTCTCTCGCAAGAATGAAGCTCAATCGAGGTGATTTTCACGCTATTATTTACTTTGACTATATAAAAGATTTATAACGCCAATAACGTTTTGCAATTTTCAGCAATATTCGGCATTCGAAAAACTTAATCGCGAAAACCAATGAATTAATATTTGAAGATCTGTCTGTTCAGTTGCGCATATAAGACTACTGAACTCATATTAATTTGTTGAAAACTAGAATTTCATTTTTCGTCTAACAACTGGGACATAAAGACTGTAATGGGAGTGTTTTTAGGCTCCTCTGAGATGGGTTTTAGCAAATTTGCAGATTATTGCAGATTGCTTTTAGCTCGAATTGCAAAATCATTTGTTAAAAGTTAAAAGATTATAGATAGGCGTAGTCGCATATTTGGTCGAACCGTCGAGGTGGAAGAAGGAGTTGACCCCTCCTGTGGTTCCGTCGCCCTATTTTAAATGTTACTATCTTCAGCTCATTTTCTTTTCTTGCACTCAGTTTGGCATTATAGTCCAATCTCCACCGTGTAATGAGTTTTGAAGCAATGTGTAGCTCTTCAGATATCCTCATACACAAATAACCTTCCGAATCTATCAATATATCGTATCCACCACCTTATCATGGTGTTTCGAGATTTATGCGTAAACCTGTATGACCTTTTACAAAACCGTTCTATGACTCTGAATATAAGGTACGCAGACCCGACGAGACACTTCCCATTTTGACTACTTTGTAAATGAGAACCTTGCGAACGATGAAAACATCTAGGGACAGATAGTGTTACCCGGTTATAAAGTGACCAACTCCTATTTTCGGCCCGCATACGTATAATCCTATAATATCCCAGCGCAACTTGCCTATATTTTCTTCCAGCGCGTTATATGTTGCCAGGTCAATTAGTTTTAAATGGAAACCGAACCTTGGCTTGTTAGTGCCCCTGCCCCGCCACCATTGTCGCCACCGCAACCAAAGATAGTGCAGCCGCCGGGGACTGGGGGCCGTTTCTTTGATCCATTAATCATAGGAATATTTGACATAGTTGCCACGCTTGGCAAGCGGTTTGACAACCGTAGTTTTTTATTGTTGATGTTGCCAGAAATATGTTGCTGCCCATCTCCTGCTTTAGATTCTCTCTTTCGCCCGTTACGACATCCACCGGATGATATTCTGCTGCCCATCTCCTGCTTTAGATTCTCTCTTTCGCCCGTTACGACATCCACCGGATGATATTCTGCTGCCCATCTCCTGCTTTAGATTCTCTCTTTCGCCTGTTACGACATCCACCGGATGATATTATGCTGCCCATCTCCTGCTTTAGATTCTCTCTTTCGCCTGTTACGACATCCACGGGATGATATGGCGACATCTTACGCCGCCACTACAAGGCCAAACAATGTGATGTTGAAAAAATGTGTCTATCCTACCTCAAGCGCTATATTACTTTTTTAGCTGTTGCTAAAAAAACGAAGCAAAGTTAAAAAGCAAGAGGTTTGAAAGCATAGAAGACGCACTGGCTGCTTATTAGTTGTAGATTTTTGTGGTATCAGAAGCCTGGTCAGAGGTATTTTTTTCCAGTGATTTAGACGTATGGAAGATACGTAGAAAGTATACGTGCCAAAGGTGAATTAAAAAGTGAACTGGTGAACGGGTAAACTTTGGAAATAACAATAATATAGTAATAAATAATAAATGTTATAATTTGTGACCATCTGGTTTCTTTTAGGGTGACCCGATTTATGATTGACACTTTATATCACTTCCTAATATTTTGTATTTTGTGTATTTTTTGATGTTGCTGATAATTAAATATTTCTTATTAATGTCTTCCTCTTCCTTTTTAGAATGATGTAGTTAATCTTACCGTAACATAGTTCTTTGCAGTCAGATATGGATGATATATTAACTGATTTTTATTGCCGTAAAAAGCAACATGGAGCATCAAATAAAGGTCGATATAAGCTATTGTTTCTAACATTAATAGTATTATATCAAAACTTCTATATAAAGGAGACATTGAAACCACGACCTGAAAACATGTTATTTGCAATTATATTAAGTCGTCGGCAGTAATAATATAATATCAATTCAAAGGAGCATGTTCATGTTTAATGAGATATCTTACAGGTATTAATAAACACATTATAAAGGCGGAGGAAGTTCGAATAATAGCCCAGGTTTTAAGAAAAACACCGTCTGGTTTAATCGCTATTGGCATCAACATGTACGTGGCTACTCTGTTTAGAATTCGAAACTGATCGAAGGATTTCAAGTAGCTCTCATTTCTTTTTTTATATTCCTCATAGACATTGATAAATGAATCTGAAAGTTAAAAAAAGTTATCAATATGAAATACTATGACTGATATTTAAAGTTATAACGAAGCCTTACAGGTTATCAACATGATGGATTGATGAATTATGACTGGATTGGGTTCTCAAATCGTTATCGTATCAAATACAAAAATTTATCCCATTGGTTTCGAGGTGGTTTAAGGAAATGCTTAGACTACATGGAGTCTGACTGATGCTGTTATAACCATCACACATACATTCACATACAGTGTGTGTGTGTGTGTGTGTGTGTGTGTGTGTGTGTGTGCGCCATATGACTGCTTCATAGTTAGTAGGGTAAATGCTAAATATTTTTGGATAAGATCGAAAACCAGTTGTTGGGATTTTTTGCCAAGAAATTCTTGGTAGCAGTCTGGAGTCAAGAATTTGGCGGAATTTCACCCCCGTGCCACGGAATGTACGTAAAGCCGTTCTCCCTGCGCCATATCTCTCTCTGGTTATGGTTGATTGCCGTCCCATCAGATTATGAGAATGAGGAAAAAGAGAAACATCTTTCTTTTTGCACACTCGTGCACTATATTTTCTGCACTGCGCTGATTGCTAGTTTCTGTTGGAGGAGAACCGCTTTTGAACATAAAATTATGGAAGGATGATGTGTTTTCTGACTGATTTAGATGAGGACACCCTCCGATTAATTGAAATCTGTCAGCTGCACAGAGAACGTAATATATTAATATTTATTACAGTTTCACTAGCCAACAAATTATGCACTAACAAAATAATGCACTGATACGTCATTATCTTCCCGCATCCGATGTAATATGCTTATATGGTTTTATTGCAGGTCAACTAGGGTCTAGTGTCAAAGGCCCGTGAGCGATCACAAAACATGCGGACCTAAAATCTTATATAATTTATGTGTTAACTCTAACGATAAATCTCGTTGGAGTTTAAATTCAGAACCTGCGATGAATCAAGCATCGACCTACCCGGTGGGAGATTTTACCTTTTCCAGAGACGGCTAAAGATACTGAGAGAAGATTTGAGTATCTGGCAACTTCATCGCGGGCTCTGAGTTCGAATTTCAGTAACACTCCCGTGTGTTGACGATGGATGAGCTACGATTCCGTGTCTTTGTCCCGCAATTATTTTTTTTAAACGACATTAATTAATCGATTCAGGCTTTCTTTAAGGGAATTTATTAAATTAAAGTTTAAAAGATAAATCAATTAAGATTCGCATGCAAAAATGAAATAGTGAGTATTACCTTTTTTGTCCTTCCTTCCTCCCACAATCGCGTGTAGTGTTGGCAGATACACGCCATTGTGGGAGGTAAGGAAATGGGACAATTAATTTTCTTATTTAAAATTAAAAACTACAATAGGCCGCATATCGCCACAATCGTTACCCATTATTAGCCTAAGCGTATAGATTTTTTATGGACACAGAGGCGACATAAACCTTCTCCGTTTTAAAGTCGGTTGAAAAGTGAATAATATTTACCGTCCAAGAAATCCTGTAGAATGTTGGTTAATTTAGCTTTATGGTTCTTTTTAAAAAAATTGTAAAGTTGGAAATAAAAATTAGCGGTGTGAAGCCTCGCATGATCTTCGATAATTTTTAGCTCATCAGACGTTAAAAGACCTTCGTGCTCTCTCATATCAGGAAATAGGTTCAGTGCCGACGTGTATGCAAAGTGACTTATACTTATAAGCTGAAATCAATATGAATTTTACAATATTTTCTTATAACGCTTATCAGTTGTTTATCATTATCATCATTGCCGCCCTTCATAAGTCGACTGATGACCTTAGTTCTTCTGACGAACGTAGGTTCTGACTTGCCTACATCCATCGACTTCCTACATGTTTCTGAAAGGTTCTCACGCTACACATCGTTTACAGGTACGAGGCAGCCACTCGAGAATCTTTCTTCCCCATCGGTTTTTAGTTCTTCGGGCTATAAAGCTGGTCTCTTGCCTCTTCAGCTTACTGATCCATTGGGCTATGCCGGTTACTCTTAGTTTACTGCAGATATCTTTATTACAAGTTTTATCACGCAGAGAAACTCCGAGCATAACCCTCTTCATTACCCGCTGAGTGACTTTAATGGCCAGGAGTTAAGGTCATGTCTTAGATTCATGTCATAACTGGCAGCATGCACTGTTTGTGTTGTTTTCAGGTATTGAGGAAAACGTGACGAGAAAATGTGTCGTAATCTCCCAAATGCTGACCAGCTATAACCGAAGATCAGTTATTTAATGTGGAATGAATGTGATCGGCAGCAGCGTCTTTCTAATAACGACTAAAAAACTGAAGTTGCCAACCCGCTTGCCAAGCTTGGCAACTATTGCAAATATCACCCTATGAAGAAATCTATGGGAGAGGCTTATATTCACAGTGGACTTTAGTAAGCTGTAAAGGTATTACATAATATAAAAAGTTATTGCACAGTGGGGTCTATGTCGAAGTTTTTTATTTCAATATAATATCATAGATTAATATATTAAGAGTGGTTTAATGCATAAGTATAACCCATTGAATAACTGATAACTTTTTTTACCTTGCAATGAGTTAGAGTTACAACAGTGTTGACAGCTGGCACTCCATACAACATCACCAACAAACCTAGGTGATTTCCAGGGCCGATGACTCGTTCCTTTTTCTCATCCTTCATCGCTTTAGACGTTACTAAGCAGTATCCTCGTTCGATTATGTATAATTCCCTTGAAATTGTTCCGCCATAGTAAACTATTTCACTGGGTGGAAGGATTATGTCCCTAGCCACTGTAGGAAATTATAACTATCAAATTTTTTTACGTGTAGGATGCTTATTTTTAGTTTAATATGTGTTTAATATATTTTTTTTTAAAGAAGAGGGAGTAAACGAGCATGCGGCTTACCTGATGGTAAGTGACTACCGCTGCCCATGAACAACCGCAACACCAGGGGAATTAAAGGTGCATTGCTGGCCTTTTAGAAAGGAGTAAGCTCTTTTCTTGAAAGTCCCTAAGTCGTATCGGTCCGGAAAAATCTCCGGTGGTAAACAATTCCACAGAGAAGTTGTACGAGGAAGAAAAATCCTAGTAAAACTCACAGTGGTGGACCGCCAAGCATCCAGATGGTGATGATGGTATCGCGAATTTTGACACGATGTACGTTCGTGAAGTTTGGCGACTGTAATTAATCCGAACAATACCTCAGAGCACTCCCCGTGGTAGATTCGATAGAAAATGCAAAGGGATGCAACGTCCCTATGCAGCGCCAGTTAATCGAGCCGATCAGAAAGAACTCGGTCGTCGACGATTCGAACCGCTCTGCGCTGGATGCGGTCAAGTGAAATGCGCTGGCACTGGGGTGCCCCGGCCCAGAGATGAGAACAGTATTCCATGTGAGGCCGAATTTGCGCTTTGTAAAGTTGCAAGTGATGTGCCGGCATAAAATACTGCCTCGCTCTGCTGAACACGCCAAGCTTTTTAAAGGGCATATACACAAGATGTACCACAAACTAATGAGAAAATTAAAGATGTTAAAAATTTATCAGCTAAAAACCGCGTAATGAAATAAAATGTTGTGTCTTATCTAGTCTGAGAAGCACCTTCCTCCCTCCCTTAAGGCGTTTCCCTGACCAAATAACCTTGAGCATTCGTTGGCTCTTTAGACATACGCCGCTTTATCATAGAATTCACACAATTTTTGGAATTATTTTAATTAAAAAAGAAAAACGAACTTTAAAAAAACAAAATAAAACGTGAAGAATATAGATTTTTACATTATCTATCTATTAGTGTGATCCTCAAATGATTAGAGCGTTGCCTTTAGCAACAGATGAATGTAATCAATAATTTTAGTCATTTTTTAAAAGTAGATTTTAAATGTATTTATAACACATGAAAACAAATTAGAACGTGGAATGTGATGATAGGATATCGCACATTAATAATGTGCTTTTAGATGTAGTTTATTTCTCATAACTAATGAGATAATAGTCTCTGAAAAACGCACTATCGCAAGATTTTGGTCGAGGTATCGCCTTAATTGCGTGCACTGTCTTGTCACCATTAATATCAGAACAACTAATCACTACTTAGAATTAGGTTCTCTTCAAACTAGAAATGACACATCATTTTATTTTATTACGCGGATGGTTTTCCGCAAATTAACCTTATGATTCTATTATTATTATAATAATAAGAAAATTGTAAATTGCATCGCATTCTTGTTGCTTTAAACAGGGCTTACATTAAAATATCAGGTTAATAAGATGCTGTTTTTTTTAATGAATTTTTTTCAATCTGATAAATGACCAATACATTTAAAAGTCCTGCTTGGTTTATGATTGATTTTTTTCCAGGATAAAAGTTTTTTAAACAAAAGAGTGACTTTTAATTAGTATTATTTATAATGTATATTGAAAATTAAGATGGAATGCCTAACATCAAGGAACAGTGGTAGAGCCACGCGGCAGCTTTTGCTGTCTCACGGATGGTCTGGCTCGAACCGGGATGGTACCACGACCTCACAGAATACCAGCGCGAAGTAGAGGTTTACCTCGCTTGGTGAGTGCAGGTGGCTACCCCAGGAGGGTACCAGCATCCCTGGAGAATCCCTCGCTGAGCATCCACGACGAAGCTACTCCACTGCTGAGCGTGGGTGCTCAGGCTGCTCCGCGTATTCTCGGGGGGGGGGGGGGCTTGAATTCCGCTCACGACTAATACTGCTCGGGGCAAGTGGAGCAATAAGAGCAAGGCGACCCCTGTGAAGTTTTGCAACATCAGCAGGCCTTGTTCTTTTTAATCGAGACTCAAGTGTCCTCTCCGGCTGATACTTCATATCTCTCCGGGGTACAAATTAGAACACTCATTTGTGCCCCGCGCTGGAGTTTGCGTATACGTCAGAGAGGACACCTGTTTTCACCCCTCGGCAGTCTTGACGGTACGGACCTGTCCATCCTATGGCTGCGCGTAGACAGCGACGACCATCCCCGCGTCTACGGGTGCCTCTATAGGTCCCATAGCGGTAATGCCGACACAGACCGACTCGTCGACCACGTCCAAATGGCTACAGATTTCTTGCTACAGCAGATCCCATCCGTAGAGATCGTGATTCTTGGCGATTTTAACGCCCACCACGCCGAATGGCTCTATTTACGTTCAACCGATCATGCGGGGAGATCTGTTTATGACTTTGCTTTGGCATATGGTCTTACACAACTGGTTACTTCGCCTAATCGGATTCCAGAGGTAGAGGATCATGCACCTTCCCTGTTGGACCTTCTGCTGACCTCTCATCCGGACGGATATCAGGTCTCCGTCGATGCCCCTCTGGGCTCTTCGGACCATTGTCTGATCCTGAGTACGGTGTCACTCACGCTCCAATCGCTGTTGCGATCTACAGCTTGCCGCCGTGTTTGGCACTATAGGTCGGCTGATTGGGACGGGATGCGGTCTTTTTTTGCATCCTATCCCTGAAGGCGGGTTCGCTTATCACTGGAAGATCCCAGCTTTGTTGCTGATTCTGTTGCTGATGTGGTACTTCAGGGTATGGAACTTTTTATTCCATCCATCGGAGGCAGATCCCAGCCATGGTTTGGTCGCTCCTGTAAAATAGCATCACGTTATAAGCAAGAGTGCTACCGGGCTTGGGCTGACGCATCAACGTCTCGGCATATAAACACCGGCGCTCTCAAAAAGAAATTTAATTCCACCTCCAGGTACTTCAAAAGCGTCACTGCCAAGGCAAGGCAAGGACTGAGTACATCGGCAGAATTGGCGAGAAGTTAGTTCGCCTGTGAAGTTAGGCCTGATGGAGTCCTTCCCATTGTGCTGAAGACGTGTGCTCCGGAGTTGGCACCGGTTTTAACCGGTCTTTTCCGGTACTCCTACTCCCAAGGCGTAGTCCCGAAATCATGGAAGACAGCTTTGGTCCACCCGATCCCTAAAAGAGGCAACCACTCAGACCCGTCCAACTACAGGCCTATCGCCGTCACCTCCTTGTTCTCCAAAATAATGGAATCCATTATAAACTGCCAGCTCATGAGGTACCTTGAGGATTACCAGCTGATTAAAGACCGCCAGTACGATTTTCGTCTTGGTCGATCAGCTGGTGATCTTCTGGTCTACCTGACTCATAGATGGGCGGAGACAGTAAAGGGGTAGGTATTGGCCGTAAGTTTGGTCATAGCGAAGGCCTTCGATCGGGTCTGGCACAGAGCGCTTCTTTCGAAGCTTTCTTCCTATGGGCTTCCCGAGAAATTGTGCAAATGGATCACCAGTTTCCTTGCTGATCGGAGCATCAAGGTCGTAGTAGACGGTGCATGCTCTGATTTCAAGCCTATCAACGCTGGTGTTCCACAAGGCTGCGTGCTATCCAACGCTGTTTCTCCTGCATATCAATGATATGTTGCTAACTGGTAGCATTCATTGCTATGCAGACGACAGCACTGGGGATGCCTTATATACCAGCCGTGCCAATATTCCTCGGGAAAACGTCGCCGAGTACCGGGACAAACTTGTGTCTGAAGTCGAGTCTTTGCTTAACAAAGTCTCGGATTGGGGCCGACTAAATCTAGTCCAGTTGAATCCCCAGAAGACACAAGATTGCGCGTTTACCAATAAAAACAACCCCCTTGTCGTATCTCCTCAGTTACAAGGCACTCCCCTTGCTGCCTCAGCTAGCATCGGAATCCTCGGCGTCGACATATCGAATAGTTTCGTGGTCACTTGGAAGGGAAGGCCAAATTGGCCTATAAAAAGCTTGGCGTGCTCAGCAGAGCGAAACAGTTTTTCATGCCGGCACATCGCTTGTAACTTTACAAAGCGCAAGTCCGGCCTCACATGAAATACTGTTCTCATCTCTGAGCCGGGGCACCCCAGTGCCAGCACCTTCCACTTGACCGCATCCAGCGCAGAGCGGTTCGAATCGTCGACGACAGAGTTCTTTCTGATCGGCTCGATATACTGGCACTACGTAGGGATGTTGCATCCTTTGCATTTTCTATCGAATCTACCACGGAGAGTGCTCTGAGGAATTTTTCAGATTAATTCTAGCCGCCAAATTTCAGGAACGCACATCGCGTCAAAATTCACGATAACATCCTCACCATCTGGATGCTTGGCGGTCCACGACTGTGGACGTTTTACTAGGAGTTTTCTTCCTCGTACAACTTCTCTGTGGAATTGTTTACCACCGGCGATTTTTCCATACCGATACGACTTAGGGACCTTCAAGAAAAGAGCTTACACCTTTCTAAAAGACCGGAAACGCATCTGCAATTCCCCTGTTGTTGCGGTTGCTCATGGGCGGCGGTAGTCACTTACCATCAGGAGAGCAGCATGCTCGTTTGCCCCCTCTTCTATAAAAAAAACACCTTCAGTAAATAGGAGTACAGTGCTGTGTGTTCCCGTCTGAAGAGTAAAGAAAACAGACTATGAAGCATTCCATCTTAATGACAACGCAACTGTAGCCTTTTTTTGTTTAAAGTTGGCTGCGTGTGCCCATAGGCTGTAGCAGTCACTTACCATCAGGTTGACTGAAGGTTCGTTTGTCACTTTAGTTTTATAAAAAAAAACGAGTTCAAACTATTGTTATATGTCAAATGATGCAGTTGTATTAGTAGGAACGCCTCTTACAGAATATGAGCGTAAAAGAGCAGCGTATTCCTGCTGAATGTTTCTTTGGTGAATAACGAGCATTAGGGATATGTTTATTAGTAACCAGACGTTGCATCTTAGTTCTCAGAAATCACAACGCATCTGCATATTGATTCTTAATATAGGTGGTCTATAGAGCACATAATATACTTACCATCGGGTAGACTGTGTAATCGTTTGCCACACTTAGGTACCTACTTGTATGAAAGAATCGCAGCAGGACATTAGTACTTACTTTCCGTAAGTGTTTGAATGTATGCTTTATTTTTTACTTGAAAGAACATAATGGACGTAAGAGCTTTAAATCTCGCTTGATGTAAGACTTTTTTTCGTAACTCAGTGGGGACGACCGTTGTGTCCAACCAGCTCTCATCTGTTAATTCTACGCCCTGGAAACGATTACTAATAATTATAAGGATAAAGCGTACCTAATAATTACAAGGATAAATTATTATTACGGAACAACATCAACTGACAAAACAAACTCTTTTTTATCTTTTCCGTTTTGTTTCGAATAACACCAATTAGCGTTCCGTCATTTTTATGTATTGTTTCAGGAACTCGGAAAATACAGGAAGCATTTATTATTTACGTGTTTTATATACAAGTAAAAGTAAATATAAAACTAGATTTTTAAATGTGTGCAAAGTATTTAAAAATTATCTTTTTTTAACCATATTTACAACTGAGTTAAAGACGATAAAATACAATATTTATTTATGACTAGCTGTTACCCGCGACTTCGCCCGCGTGTAATTTGGGGTTTTAATTTTTTTGCGCAGAACCCTAATTCTTTTTCTAAAATAAAAGTAGTCTAAGTTACTCCAAGTGATATCAGAGATCTGCCAGTGAATATCTCGTCAAAATACGTCCAGCCGTTTCGGAGATTGCCGGAACAAACAGACTGACAGACGGACAGAGAGACAGACAAATTTGGTTATGAGTACCGTACATACTTTCATATGCATTTAGTAAAAAGCTATAATTTTGACATTACAGACAGACACTTTTATTTATTTGTATAGATTTTACCGAATTATATTGCCACTGTAATTCGTAGAACGCCATAATTCTAGATTTAATATCTTGACTCATATTGTTCTCCTTCATGAATTTGTCAATGGTAATTATCACTTCCAAAAATGCTGTTTTTGATCTGAAATTTGTATAAATTGCTTTTTGATATCAATCGTTTATAATATATTACGAGTATTGTTACGGCCTACGGTTGCTCCCTTAAAGGATCCAATCCCCCGGGGCCCATCAGCAGAAGACTTCCCGAGCAAACGTAGGTCGGGCCTCCTAAGGCCACGTGGAAGTTCTCTAATTACACTAAAGATATGGGGGAGCGTTATACTACGGCCAGTCGACCGGAAGGAATCTGGCGGAGTTCACTTACCTCTATCCAAGGCGACTGGTCCCTCCGGAGTCGGTCAGGTCGCATGTGGTTGTGTAGTGCAAGGGAAAGAATGGTGATGTGGTGTGTATCTGGGTGTGACTGATGGTGATTGAACCTAGACCTTAGCCGTCGGCAGCAGCCCGAGCGTCGACACCGCTCCAACTTGAGGGGGCCTTTCGAGGTTATCCACAGTCACTTTCTTGGTTCACCACGATGACAGTCACTTAACTCTATCGTACGATTAACTAGCTTACAGAAGCCACTAACTATCGCGGGGTATAAGGTTACCGCACAAAACACGCCCGGAGTTTCTAGGTCAAAGGTCACTACCGTTTCGCGTGGCAACAGTTCTAAATACCGAGGCCGCACTAGCTTATATTGCCGAATGCACTTATACAGATTCTGAGTCGGACCCAATAAGTCCCGGGAAAGGCTATCCAAACAGGGAATGCGCGTTATAATTCCTAGACAGGATATTTACTAGACGCCCTAACTATTCCGCGGTTCCCGCACAAATTAAAGGCGTGCAAACATTAGCACATCTGGCAGATGACTGACTCGCTTGCGACCCGCGCGCCACTGTGACGCTCGGAAGAACTTCAGACCGGAATCGCGCCGAGCCGAGTGACATCTGGTGTCGATTCCGACAACAGAGTTTTGCGCGAACAAACCCCCGTCCCGGACATAAGGATTTAGGTCCGCGAGCAAACCGGTCAGCGGGACAAGGTCGAGACTGCAAGTTGCAAGACCGAATCTACAACCAAACTAGGCCACCTTAGGCAATCTATTAGGTCTTGCAACCCTAATCAACGCCTCAAAGATATCCCTAATGTGGCAAGCCGGAGGGTCAGCCTCCACTGGATGCCCCTCCTGGGCATCGCAGCACTTTAATAAGTCCTGTACTGGACAGAAGTCCGACGACCTCTTTCAAACACCATCTGTGCCCCTATGATTAGTTCCGCAATCCGACCGGATCAGCTCTGCAAACAGTGACGCGACACGAAGCGGCCTCGAGCGGCCTCCTAAGCTTCAGAGCACCCACAAATTCCACATGAACGTTGTCTGTGGAGAGCCGAACGAAACGCACAGATAGTCCCTAGTATGAATTTTCAACAAGTAGGCCTAGCCAGGCCACCCACCATATTATCATTTACTAAAATAGTGCGGCAGCTGATTTCAATCTGATAATCTCCAAAACTAGCTAGCCTGTTAGACAAGTAGTCCTATGCTCATATTTCAACTAATTTTTCAAAAGCATCAATGTTCAACTACAGAATTAATTCAACCAAATTAATCACCGATGCGCATAGGTCAACTTGCAAATTAAACAAAACAATAACGTAAGGGACAGCCCTACTTCTTAGAAAACAAAAATGATTAAACACTATCATAAACATAAACATAATTTTTCAAATAGTGCGCCATTCCATTTCAGATGAATTCAAATTTTCCTTTCAGCAAACAAACGCAACAATCAAATACAGTGATTAAATATATGTACAAAACACATGCAGTAGCATTTAAAGGAGTAGATTAAATTCAATTCTTTTAATTTAAACCGCTACAAATAGGAGAATTTCGCGGAAAGCCCAAAGCAATTTTTAATTTTAATTCAAGTATTTTTTTTGACTAAGTGCTCGACCAAACCAAATCTAATACCCCTTGACAGCGTGATTCAACGCTACAGGGGGACCCTAATCTTCCCACCACCAAGGGGAGGCCACATGGCGTGAACCCGAGATAAATAGAGCACAACCTTTAACAGTTGCCACTCGGGTTGTACGCCTTCACTGAGGCCGTCGGCAACAGAACATTTTGACAAGTGGACCGTTGACGGCTTAAGGCTCAGTGGAGGCGGCCGTGGTGGGAACTAAGGCAGCAGCTAGACAGGGCCGCCTCCATCAAATGGGGAACAGTGGTACACCAGTCGCGGCCACTCAGCTAACGGAAGTGAGAAGGGTCCAGCGGACCGATGAGTGGCCGTGAAGTTCCTCTCCACACGCTGAGGGGGGGTGATGACACCCCCGCCCCTGGGGGAATTACCCCCCGACTGGTCGGGGGAGGGACTCCTTTCAAACTTAGGGGCCTGGTGGCTGGACGGCGGGCGCCGACAGTCACCCTGCAGAGGGCGTGGCTGAGCGCCCCCGCCCGTGGGGGTCGAGGGCCTGGCAGAACCCCGAGAGGAGATGCCGTTCGCACCCAGGCACAAAACGGCATGGTGATTGCCCTGGCAATGCAGACAGGGCCGTCGATGCGGACAGTCTCGCTGGAGGTGCCCTCCCAGACATGACCAGCACCAGCGGCGCTCCTTGGCGATAGTTCGCCTCGCTGGAACCGGCTTACCTAATAATTTCGGGCACGACGTTACCCGGTGATCAGATGCTCGACAATAGGAGCAGGGGGGGGTTGACGACGACTTGCCTGGCGGGTTCAGCCTCTCACTGGGCACGTCTCGCAAGTCGTCAACGGTGCCCGCCGCGTTCTCGATCTGCCGGCACTGCTCCTCCAAAAACCGCAGCAGGTCATAGAAGGGCGGAATATAGGAGGCCTCGTCCCCGCCGTACCTCTCCTCAAAATGGATTCGCAGGTCGAGAGGTAGACGGGACAGCACGATGCGGAGCAACAAAAAAGCCCATTCGCCCACTGGTAAACCCAGCCGCCTCAAAGTATTACAGGCCACCAAGACTGGATCCAACAGGTCCGGACGCAGTCTGGCCCGGTCACTAAGCAGCGGGAGGCTTAGAAGCTGCTTAACATGCTCGTCTGCAATTCGCCGGACGTTGGCGTATCTTCTGGCTAGGAGGTCCCGAGCAGTCTGGTAGGCGTCGTCCGACAATTTCAAGTGGCCGACGACGCCCAGGGCCTCCCCCTCCAGTGAGGCCAGGAGGTACGCCATCTTTTGGCTCGGGGTCAAGTCACTCCGGGCGTCCACTAGGCTGTCGAAAAGACCAACGAAGGTCAGCCATTCGGAAAGGACCCCGGAGAACTTTGGCAGGTCCAGAGTTGGGAGTCGTCCCAACAGCTCCGGCTGAAGCTGCTTCAGAGAGGACTCGGACAGGTTACTCATCCGAGCTTCACGCGCCTCCTCGGCATACCTGCCTTCAGCCTCGATCAACTCGTCCGTGAGCCACAAGAACTGCTCATAGTCCGCGAAGCAGGAGTCCAGGACTCCCTTCTCCACATCCGAATCCTCGAGCTCAGCGTAAGCCTCCTCCACTGCGGCCCTTCGAGCATCCACCTGCTCGAACCGCTTCATCAAGTTATGGACCCTATCCGGTCGACCTATCAAAGCATGGGCGCTTGTGGCCCAGCGTAGCTCAGTCCGCAAACAACGGATCAGTAGCTTGGGCGATGTCATCACTATTAAAGACAAATTACGACGCGGCTTGAGCACAGTTTACAAAGATAACAAATAAAAAATACAACAAAAAATTAACAGTTAATAAATGCAGTTCCTATCAAATCGCGTTGAATAGAAATTACACAAATACGAACTACTTGCTACGTATCAACCAAATACAAATTAGCACAAAAAAGACACAAATCAAATTAACAAATAACAAATACTAGTGCGATCGAATCAAGTTAAATTCAAATTGCGCAAATACAAATTACTACTATTTAGTTCAAATACAACTTACAGTATAAACGAAGATACACATCACGGTCGATCAACAAAAAATGCCTAGCTCGGAAATCGAACCTTCGATAAGTAATCCACTACAACTCTCCGACAACGATAATTAACCGATTACGTAAAAATAACCATCTACCTACATGACGTATATCTCTAGAAAATCTCCCGCTTGCACAACCTAGGGCGCGGCTTTTCAAATTACCCTCTAACCAAAAAAAAGGCAAGCAACAAAGCAACAAAGGAAAATAATTCTATTATTACGTACAAAAAAAATATTTTTACGTATTACGGACGGGCGTGATTGTAGATGCAAATTAAACCAATCACACCAACGCTCCCTGCCACCAAAATTGTTTAATGTTTATCAAACACTATAGTCGGGATCGACCGGGAATCGAACCCGGAACCACGCTCTGCTACCAATTTGTTACGGCCTACGGTTGCTCCCTTAAAGGATCCAATCCCCCGGGGCCCATCAGCAGAAGACTTCCCGAGCAAACGTAGGTCGGGCCTCCTAAGGCCACGTGGAAGTTCTCTAATTACACTAAAGATATGGGGGAGCGTTATACTACGGCCAGTCGACCGGAAGGAATCTGGCGGAGTTCACTTACCTCTATCCAAGGCGACTGGTCCCTCCGGAGTCGGTCAGGTCGCATGTGGTTGTGTAGTGCAAGGGAAAGAATGGTGATGTGGTGTGTATCTGGGTGTGACTGATGGTGATTGAACCTAGACCTTAGCCGTCGGCAGCAGCCCGAGCGTCGACACCGCTCCAACTTGAGGGGGCCTTTCGAGGTTATCCACAGTCACTTTCTTGGTTCACCACGATGACAGTCACTTAACTCTATCGTACGATTAACTAGCTTACAGAAGCCACTAACTATCGCGGGGTATAAGGTTACCGCACAAAACACGCCCGGAGTTTCTAGGTCAAAGGTCACTACCGTTTCGCGTGGCAACAGTTCTAAATACCGAGGCCGCACTAGCTTATATTGCCGAATGCACTTATACAGATTCTGAGTCGGACCCAATAAGTCCCGGGAAAGGCTATCCAAACAGGGAATGCGCGTTATAATTCCTAGACAGGATATTTACTAGACGCCCTAACTATTCCGCGGTTCCCGCACAAATTAAAGGCGTGCAAACATTAGCACATCTGGCAGATGACTGACTCGCTTGCGACCCGCGCGCCACTGTGACGCTCGGAAGAACTTCAGACCGGAATCGCGCCGAGCCGAGTGACATCTGGTGTCGATTCCGACAACAGAGTTTTGCGCGAACAAGTATTATTCTTAGTATTTAGTAATTTCTAATATGACTGTGTTGTAGTTGGTCGCTAAAAATGCTTTATATTGTTACACCCACGTGCACCCGTACTCGGTTTCGCTTGAATTTTGCACATTGGTTCGCATATTTGAAGGAGAACAAAACCAAAATAGCTACCGCTACGTTTTCAAAAATTCAAATGTTTTATACCCTAACCTAGTATAGTTTATATGCTTGAAATTACGTTTAGTTAAAATGATTATGTTAATGGTAAAAAAAAGTTTGGCGAAATGAAAATGGTGGATAATATGCATTGTAAATAGATAAAGAAACTTCCTTTTTCGATAATAAATTTTAATATAGTTAATTTGCAAGTTATTTATTAGCAATAAATACCTAATTGAATAATAAGTATTTATCTAATTCATAATTAATTTAATATTATGAATATGCTCTAAGTACTTCGATGTAAAGTACAATATTTTGGTATTTTTTAATCCATAAAATACCATAATAATTGTTTATCGATACTAAGCTAAACAGTGCAGTGTCCAAAGAAGCCTTGCAAGTTCGCCCATAGTTAGTTAAATCTTCGCATTCCTTTTGACGTATGCTAAAACTGACAAAATTCAGGGAACCATGCGCGAAGGAAGCGCGAAGATGCGATTGGTTCCACATTACGTGTTCGCACAATGTTCAAGGCTTTTCGCATCTTCGCGCGAGATTCGCGGAATAAGTGTGGAGCAGGCATGTCAGGTGGATTGGTGAACGAAGTAGTAGCTCGAAGTAGCCGGTCTGCATATTTTCCACCAAACATAAATTATACGACATGGGGTTCAAACATTGTCAATAGACTAGAATAGTGGTAGAGCCATTCCGCAGCTTTATTACTGGTATAGTTGTTACACGAATGGGTCGGCTCGACCAAGGAAGGACCAGGCTCTCACAGAATACCAGCGTAAAATACCAGCTTAATGCTGCTGTGTTTCGTATGGTGAGTGTAGAGAACCGTAGACCCTTTGTACTGGAAACGAGGCATTCCATCTTAGTCCTCACGGGTGACAGCTGGCTAATCGAGGATTTGGACCACAGCAATCACTTACCATCAGATGGACTGTGTGCTGGTTTGTTACCCTTATTCTATGAAAAAAAAGACATCATCATCCTTTCTTTAGACGACACTGACGACGAGATAGTCTAATAGATTATCTTACGGGGCCACCGTACGGCAAGGACGTGTATTTTAATTCTATAATAGTATTAAGACATTGAAAATTCTATGAAATAAATCTAGTGAGTCAAACTAGAAATTACTATGTGTACTATACTCGTATACATAACCTTATTTTTACCTTGACCAATGTGTCACAACAGAGGAAAACTCCGATATACAGTAACCGGTAAGCAAAACGCCGTAAAGACTGAGAAAAGCAACTAATCCCATATCGCATTTGTCACCAGGAACGAAATCACCATAGCCAACGGAGAGCAAAAGTGTGGTCGCGAAGTATATGGACGTAATTAATGGAAACCTTGTTTTGGTTGCGCTAAAAGTACATGAGGTTTAAATTATTGTCTTCGATGAGTATTAAATAAGATTTTTTTTCTATATAGGTGTAGATAAACAATGAGCACAAATCAAATTAATTTAAAACAAAGAAAGCTATTTTAATAATTGCATAATCTCATACAGTATTTCGTCGTTGGTTCAGGGCTTGTTGTATTTAAACTCGTTTTAGAAAACATAAATCTACGATTTTATCCTGTAACTAGCTGTGCCCCGCGGTTTCGCCCGCGTCATCAAGTGTCCGAGGTGACCTAGTTCAAGCATTTTATAACGGCTAGGGTTTAAGCGTCGTTCGCGCGCCCAGCCAAGTATTGAATTATTTTAATTTTACATTATCTCTTAAACTATGCGTCCAAATAACATGGTATAAAGAACAAAGTTTATCTTCATAAAATTTTCTTGATGATGAAGTAACTTTCGTTCGTAAGGATAAATAGGCCATGCCTAATAATAACGCTCATAAATCACTTTTAAATTTTCAATATTTTTTGTCACAAAATACCAAATTATGGCTTATGTATAAGAAATAGACATATGGTGTAAAATATATGTGAGTAAAGGTCTATATTTTTCTAGAACATTGTATTTACGTATCCCTAACGATAACACCAGCGTACGCGGATAAATCATTTCAGGAGTGCTTTTTCTTCTGACTTGCTTAACAAATATCCATATTTAAAGCTAGCTGAGTAATATAGCTCAATGTTAGATAGCCTATACTATTCCACATGAATCTGGCTATAATATACAAAAAAAGTTTTTCAAATCGGACTGGTAGTTCCAGAGATTAGCGCGTTTAAACAAACAAAAAAACAAAAAAGCTCTTCTGCTTTATTATATTAGTATAGACTAGCTGTGCCCCGCGACTTCGCCCGCGTGGAATTTACTACGATTTCATGGATAACAATTTTTTTACGCGTAAGCCTAATTTTGTTTTTGAATAATGTTACCATCTTATAAATATTGCCATTAATATTTATACGATACTAACGTCACTTAATTGTTTTGCCTTCCCGGAACCCCTCCACTAACACTTAAACTTTATAGTACGGTATTAAAGTTCAAATTGACTTTTATTACGCATCTTTTGTATGGGAATATAGAAAAATGTGGTTTTTAGATTTTTTCAGGCAATTTTTTTAAATTTTTCTCTCCGTAAGAACCATCTTCGTACTTCAAGGAATATTATAAAAAAAAAGAATTAGCGAAATCGGTTCAACTACTCTCGAGATTTGCGCTTAACAACACATTCAGCGATTCATTTTTATATTACAGAATACAAATAATTTTTTCGGTCGCAAGAACTTCGCAAGAACTAAGCTGTTCGATACGTATATCAAAAGTGCCATTGACGCAATAATTCAATGCTTTATCATGGTTATGCTTTAATTTGTATCCTATATATAAGCTCTTGGTAAAATAATAAAAAAGTAATAAATATTGTATAAGTTCTTAATTTAAAGAAAGCAAATTAAATAGATAGTGAATGTTTACAGTGAAATATCGCTTCAAAATTGGAATTGTACATCAACAGTGTTTCAAATTTTTTATAATCGTTTAATTTTTTATTTTTTAATATCGGCCTACATATGATATATGAATCACTACTGAACACACACTCTCGTTACTCAAAGCTCAGTGGGTTATAGAGCAGAATTAAACAACGAGATTTTGTCACACTGCGAATTAATGAATTTCAAATGGACTCGAAATATTTTTACACCACAAACTATACACACACAGATACTGTCACAGTGTTTAGTTTATCATTGAGCATGTGGTTAATCAGCATATATATACCTATATTGCGATTCATAACCATCATTACAGCGTTTCACAAGTCTACAGCTGAACATAATGTATGCCTTGGCATTAACTATTACAATTTTTCGGCGGTGATCGAACATGGTTTGCTCAAATGCCTCCACTATTAGCTGCCGCTGCTATACAACTACCGCTTGATCTTTGTTTGTTGCTTTGAGGTTTTGTTAAAGATATAAATAAAATATTAACATATTTTCTATATATTTCACATACCTGCTATGCATAACAACATTTTTCTGGTTATTCTCCGTTAGAGCTCGAGCGAACCACGAATTTTGCGAGCAACGTGCTACAAAGCACGATTCCATGTAAAGTACCACACCACACCAGTAACATAAAAGGCTAACGTAAGTGCAGTACTTGGCAATCTGTGGAATACAATGCTACATTAACAAAAAAATTTACCAGAAATAATTAATTATTCATATTATAATACTAGCTGTTCCCCGCGACTTCGCCCGCGTATAATTTAGGGTTTTAATTATATTGCTCAGAACCCTAAATCTTTCTCTCAAATATAAGTAGCCTAAGTTACTCCTTAGAACATCAGCTATCTGTCAGTGAAAGTCCCGTCGAAGTCGGTCCAGCCGTTTCGGAGGTTAGCTGGGACAAACAGACAGTCCGACAGACAGACAAAAATTTTAAGAATTCTGTTTTTGTTATAAGTACCGTATATACATGCATATGCATTTAGTAAAAAGCTGTTATTTTAACATTAAAAACAGACACTTCAATTTTATTTATTTATATAGATAGTTAATTATTCACATTATAATATGTTTGTCGGTACGAGGTAGTCTTAAGTAGCATCGGTAGTTGGCTCTTCCGTCAGGCTATTTAGACGGCCCTAGCTCACTTCAAATCACCAAAGATCGAAAAGATTATGTGGTTTATGGTACTACTTACAAGTTTTCAAATCTCTATTTCACATGTACAGAGCAATTTTTAGTTTATCTAATTATATAAAGATCTCATTTCTGAGATGGTTTTGGTGCAGTAAATTATCCGCCACACTGCCCATTGCCTATTCGCGGATTTCATATTGGTGGGAAAAATAGGTAAGAAGTTTTTAATTTAAAATTTTTTGAATTAGTAGAATAAATTTTGATACCTTTATAATAATTAAGTTGGACAGCAACTTTCTTTCCCATTGTTCATAAAAGCTCGTCAAACGCCACACAAGACAAAGCTTGGTCCCTTTGCATAAATAAAATAAATGCTCTCTGTAATCATCATAATACATGGTCGTCGTATGTATTGTAACTATATATTCGAAAGGGATTAGAGCAAATATATCTAAATAGAATGCTGGAGAATTAAGTCTGTATTTTAAGATATCTGAAAAGTTTTTGACGTGTTCCTTCTTTGTTTTTACAGCAGTCACCATTGACATAAATATGTTGATAGTCAATGAAATTGCAGTTACAATTTCGGCATAGAAAAAGAAACCGCTCGGAAATTCTCTCTTGATTCCTATAAAATATGGATATAGAGTACAGATGTAAATGACAATACAAAGCATATAAAATTCCCAATACTTTGCTAGGTAACAATCAGACTCCAAAATCCACGGAAAACTTGAATTAATACACGTGAAGGTTGATTTTCTCTTTTTAATGTGCTCAGACAATATATAAAGATCTAAGCAATTTTCATCGAGTTCATTATCTTTAGTTAGGTCCACATCTGTTTTACCTGAAAAAGCGCCATTAATTTCTTAAAATACCTAGAAATTATATACGAAATCAAACAAAGTTTCTAGCACCTCATTAGGTCATTACGTGTTTGTTGACTATGAAAAACGCTACAAAGATCTCATGCTCTCCTTTTTCGTTACAGTTACAGCTTATCAAAGGTGCACTTTTGACTCCTATAGATTGCCACATAGGGAGGATATTTGCCATATTTGCCACGCTTGGCGGGTTAGCAGCCATGGGTTCGATACTTCTGGTTCTGTGATTGAAAATCCGCCTGCCAAAGGTGGCAAATAAGGCAAGTTCCCCAAAAAAGGGAGAGGCTCATCTCTTGCAGTTCAGTATTACGGACAAATAAACGAGAAGAAGATACAAATCTTTAATTAAATTTTTCACCTTGCCGGTATCGTAGTTTATCTTTCAAACATTTGATGCTGCTCTTTTTTCTTTCTTTTGAAACGTAAATATTCAACAAAAGTTGTTCGTTGCCGTTTTGTTTTTTCTTTCTTTGTCGGCATCTGTTTATTCTTTCGTGTATATCATTTCGAATTTGAGTTACTAAATTGGGATATGTGATCATTAATTTTGTAAAATCGGTCTTTTTCAGAATTTGGCACTCCACATAAGTAGCGGCTTTGACTGTGCATCTAGCTGTAAATATATTTCTTTAATTTAATTAAATGTAGTTGTAGCACGAATGAGTCGGCTCGACCGAAGATGGACCACACTCTCACAGAATACCAGCGTTAAAAAGCAGTTTAATATGCTGTTTTGTATGGTGAATGAGTGGACCGGAGACCCATTTTACTTTTTTTTTATAGAATAAGGGTGACAAACGAGCACACAGTCCACCTGATGGTAAGTGGTTGCTGTGGCCCATAGACATCTACATCTATCTTCGTTTGCGAATTAAAATGCAGATACGTTGTCAGCCGTGAGGACTAAGATAGAATGCCTCTTTTCCAGTAAAATGGATCTCCGGTTCTCTACGCTCACCATACGAAACACAGCAGCATTAAGCTGCTATTTTACGCCGGTATTCTGTGAGAGGGTGGTCCTTACCCGGTCGAACTAACCCATTCGTGCTACAACTATACTATTAATATAACTGTAGCATGACTCTACCACGTAAGTAAAAACTTTACTGGCAAGCAATCCATCTTAGTAAAGCTATTAGATTAACTAGTCAGCTGCTCCAGTGCAGGTTGGCGAACTTTACATGTCTTCTAAATATTTTTATTTCTCGGATTTCTCACGATGTTTTCCTTCGCCGCGGAGTACGAAGAAAATCAGCACTTAAACATTTCATTGATGTCGACGTCGATCGAACTCGCGTACTGTAAAATTTCTCACATACGAAATGCTCAAAAGATTATTGGGAAGTAGTAAAAAATATGAAGAAATTCATATTATTCTACTATAAAGTAACTAGTGTCGTGTAGTGACGGTGTAAGAATATCCATTATACCAAATCATACCATGGGTGTTGTAAGAGGCGACAGAGAGAAACAAATCAGGAGATGGTCAGCAGCGTCGTCCTAATAACGACTAAAAATAAATAAAACTGTGGTTGTCGACCCGCTTGCCTAGTGTGGCAACTATGGCAAATGTCTCCCCTATGAGGCAATCTTTGGAGGAGGCCTATGTTCAGCAGTGAACCTTAATAGGCTTTAGCGGTAACGGTATAAAGTAATAAGTAAGATAACAGCATAATAATAATAATAATCATCATCATAGGACAGGATCAAGAATACGAAGGAAGAAGATAAGTCTCTTTCATAGGCTCGAATCGACTTCCTACATATTTCATCAGGACATTATTACTTATAGGGAGGGGTCGCTCAACCGCTAGGCTTTGTCAGCTTACTCTTGTCCTGATGAGGATGTTTAAGGTCATAAAAAATGTTTTCTGCGTCATAAAAACCGTTCAAGGGTATCCGCAGAAAAACAAGAGCCATAGGTCATAGCTTTACTTAAATTACCAGGTATGTTTAATATCAGTGCTATCTCTCCGAAGCAGGTTCCTTTAGAAAATGAAATCATTGGACTCTCATCATCTTCATCCGATAATAACTCCAAAACACCGTTCGTTACACAAACCTATAATGAATAAGAACTTTTAATAACAACTGGAAGGACGATATTCCACATTGACAGTAATAGCAATTAACATATTACCATAACAGTTTTATTTTGATTATGATTATAAACAATGTCGCCTGGCAAATAAAATCGGTGACTCATTGTTACAGATAAACGTCTTAAAAAAGCTTCGGGTAGTTTTCTAAATAACAAAGAACTGTATAGGGGCACGGCATTTAAGTCGTAACAAATCTCCATTTGCAATGGAAACGGAAGCAGCTTCAGTAGTTTTGGCTTAAATACTCCAGACTTCTGATACCAAAGGTCTTCATAGTAACTATAAGCAAATACTTAGATCGTAGATTTCAACTTGTTTAAAAAAAAAAAGATAATAAAAACGGAGCAAATTTTACCTGATTATACGTTTTGTTGTAGCATTATCCATTTTTATTAATTTAAGGTGACTTTGTATTTTCTTTAACTGCCGCACATACTTCGCACGCCGCGTAGTTATTGTTATAAACTGTGAAGTAAGGGAACCCACAAACACGATAGTTGTCAATAAAAATCCCAGTAAAACTGCAGTTATAGCTGAGATTCTTTCAGGGGTCGTTATTGGGTAGAGATCACCAAGTGCATTCGTGGTGAGAAACATAACCGACCAATACGCACAGACAAAGTACCAATCATGTTTTGTTTCTGTGGGTAAATGCGCAGCTGCCACAGACCAAGAGGAACGATTTTTATGCAAATCATAGTTTTTGTACGCGAATAAATACCATATACAAGTCCACGTATGCACCGATAAAAGAAAAAGTATTAGATATTGTACTAAGAACGTAGTCCATTGATTACTGCCAGCTTGCGAAGACCTGTTATAAAAATATTCGATAATTCTGTAAACGCGTATTGCTGCGATGATTGGTGATATAGTATAGAAATCGAAGAAAGAACCATCAGGATCCGTGAAATAGAGGAGGGAGTATGGCATGGCTAATATTATGTCAAGAATCACTTGGTACATGTCGGGCTCAACCAAATTTAGAGTTTTTCGCCACTTTTTGAAAAACTTTAAGCCAAATACTATTATAACGTCTATTGTAAACATAATGTTTAAACTAAACAATAACATGACAATCCAAAATGAGTTTTCTAGACGCCGGCAAAATGTGTACAGACATGTCTCTAATATGTAGGATATAAATAAGACGGAAAGAATAAAAATTTCCCATCCTGGGTTGGAATATATTAGTAAAGTATATCGAAGTTTTCTATTACTGAAATCCGATCGCTGCTCTTGTAAAATAGCATATGTTTTTGGCCATTTTTCTTCACCATTGTCAAGTAATATATTACAGGACTTCGATGAAGATCGTCCAACAGCTGCAGGATGTATGAACTTGTTCTGCCTGTCTACTTCATTTCTGTATTGATATACATCAAGGCTCAATTCTGCTTCATTTTCATTAGTTTCTGCAAAGTCAGAGCCTTAAATCATTATGAAATGCAATGAAAATTAAACTAGTACCTATATGTGTAAAAAGTAACACAGCGTTTTTAAAATAAATATCTCAAGACGAAGTACAATATCTTATTTTTGAGAGTGTAATAAAACTTATATAAACCCGCCAAGTTGCTCCAGTAACTACGGGTTGGCGGATTTTACACGTTGGAACTTTTTAGGATTCCATGTTTCCTTATTATAATTTACTTTAAAACCGAGTACATTTTATAAAAAATGCTTACCCATTGTTAAATACCTTACTTTTGCACATGTTAAAACATATGGTTTAATGGCATATGTTATTTATTGTCATAATCTAGTAGGTTGTTTTTATTTGGGATTTGAAAGTCGAATTAACATTAATAGAACATTGATATAAAAGTCAGTTTTAATATCCATTCGAAAGTAGTTTTCAGTCGTTCACTCTAATACGTCACAATATCAAATGCTATTATATTCAAAATCGTTGCAATGACGTAATGTTTTTCACCACGCACAGCCGTAGGCCGAAAGACGGACATGTAGAACCGAAACACAAGATGTGCACACGGCACTTCAACCTACAAACACGAACATAAAAAATATAACTGACTTGACGTCGTATTAATTTTGTATTGTATTCTCTGATCGTACCTAACGTAGTTTGTCGTAAATCACTCAGCGGATGATCAGTGATCACGATTGACGATAACGACTGTGTCGTCAAAATCAACATCTACTGCCGTTAAATTACGTGTGCACGATTTTTTTTTATTATAGGAAGTTATGGAGTCTAAAATTACTCCAAAGTTTGAATTTCTTGACAATAAAAAATAGTGTTACATAGTTTTACCGATATAATATATCGGGGGATAAAATGCAAAATGGTTTAAGCGACATCCTCGTTTGGTGGTCTTTACCTATGAAATTGCCGTTCTGCAGTACTGGCCATTTCAAATCAAAATAATTTTGTTTCACTAAGAATTCTAATTTCAAATTAATATTATTTTAAAAACATGGAATTATTTTTACAAAACTAGTAATTTTTTTATGGATTAGCGTTATGTTTTCATCGCATTTGAATCTTTTTTGTCATCATGGATAAATTCAAAATTCGAGTAATTATGGAATACGTGTACCGATACGGAGCCAATGCTACAAACGAACGCACCACCTGTTATTGATTTGACCGCTTCCGTTCTGGAATTTTCGACCTGAAAAATGAACCTCGTGGTCGTCCGAAAACTTTGGTCGGCAATGACGAATTAAAGGCGATTGTGGAAGCTGATGTTACTCAATCCACGGCTGAATTAGCAGCAGCGTTCCACGTTAGCATAAAAACAATATTGATCCATTTGCGTCAAATTCGCAAGGTAAAAAAGGTTGACAAATGGGTGCCCCACGAAATTAATGAGCCAGCGCAAAGAACGCGTCGAGACGTGCCTTGCACTGCTCAATAGGCACACAAACGTAGGAATTTTGAACCCCATTGTTACCTGCGACGAAAAATAGATTTGACAATCGCAAGTGCTCAGCAAGTTGGTTGGATCCTGGTTTAGCACCTAAACAATGCCCTAAATGAAAACTTACCCTTAGAAAAGTAATGGTCACTGTTTGGTGGTCTAGCGCCAGTGCGATTCATCATAGCTCCTTACCAAATTGGATGATCATTAATGCAGCTGTGTACTATGAATAACAGAATACAATGATGGAGAAGCTCGCAGGTTTCCAACCAGCTTTGATCAATATCGCTCGTCCCCGCTGCTCCTGCATGACAACGCTCGACCTCATACTGCACAACAGATGGTCTTCAAGTTACAACAGCTGGAGTTGGAACTACGTACTCACCAGACCTTGCGCCTACAGACTTCTACTTTTTCCAGAATTCGGATAACTTTTTGACGGAAAAAAATCAATATCCGAGAGGCAGTATGAAATGCCTTTGAAGATTTTTTTGCATCCCATCCAGCTGATTTCTTCAAGAAGAGCATCAATAAACTGCCACTGCGTTGGCAAAGTAGCAACGATTGCATGGGTGAATTGATTAAAATAATATTAAATATATTAAAAAAAAATTAGGTACGTTAAGTTATTTCATAAAAAACGGCAATTTCATAGGTAAATACCTAATATGTCAAATGTACATGAGATTTAAAAAGGGGAATGTGGTGTAAACTCTTCAAAATTAAAAAAAATGTACCTAAATACTGACTGTTAAAGCTGAAACATTTGTAAGATACAAAAAACAAACTGATAATTGAAATTATTGTCGTCCTACAAGCCAAAATCTAATTTTATTGTCAAATTTTAGTGAGAATTGGTGCCAAAAATTAAGAAAAATATCTTGACTTAATATTTTAAGTAGATATGGCCTTTTTTGGAGGATTCTAGCTTGAATTCATCAAGCTAGTAGCCTTTCTTCGAAAGCACTAGTACTGTTTGGGTCAAATATGTGATTCCAATTTATGGCTGTGATATTATAATACAGAGTATATAAAACATATTGCTCCAATGGAAGTATATTATATAAAATAGAATAACTCCAGAATTTATGTCTTTCAATATGAACTATATGTTAAAATTTTGTAACTACTTGAAAAAAGATGAACTAGGTGCTATAAAATTAGCAAATTTTCATTAAATTAAACTATTCATAATAACTTTACTTAAACTGTTCATGGTTTCCCAAGTTTATTAGGAAACCGAAGCCGTATGATATATTTTTATTTACAATGTCCCTAAAACAATTTGATTAAAACAAAACCACAATAAAAATCGCTATAAACGTAGAGGCTGCATATAAAAGAAATAAAGTATGTCGCTTAAGCCTTTTCACTTGCAAATGGTGCGTAATAAAAGCCCTAACTCATGAAGACTTCAAAAATTATTAATAGTATTCTGAAAATTATTTTATTAAAATCTTATCTTATTAAGCTCTATTGTTGCCTATTAAATTTAACTTAAAGTTCGAATTTAACTTTAAGTTCGTTCGATAAAGGTGTTGCTTGATTCTTTACAAATGATCGCACATTTTTTCTTTTTTCTTAATAGTATAGTGTGACAAACGAGCACACAGTTCACCCGATGGTAAGTGGCTGCTTTGGCCCATAGACATCTACATTTATCAAAAAAAGGTAAAAAGTATAAAGTGTAAAAAGGGTCTCCGGTTCTCTACACTCACCATACGAAACACAGCAGTGTTAAGCTGCTATTTGACGCTGGTATTCTGTGAGAGCGTGGTCCTTCCCCGGTCGAGCCGACCCTTTCGTGCTACAACTATACTACTAATATAGCTGCAGCATGGCTCTACCACGTAAAAAGAAAGATTTTTTTGTGTGATTTTCTGATTAAAGATTAAACCTTCGTTCGGTTTCGTTTTCATGGTGGTTGATGCATTTAGCCTCACACTTAGAAACAGCTGTTTAAAGACAAAACCTTTGCACTCGGTAACTGTAACAAGCGGCGTTTAAATAATTTTACCGTACACTGAAAATATTTCTTAAATTTACTTTTCACTGTACCTTACTTACGCATCTGAAGTAAAAACATTTCTGTAAAATTAATCAACTGGTTTTATCAACATTTTCTTAAAATCCATTTAAGTACTTGAAATTGTTTTTCTGTAAACTTCTGAACATGGTGCTTCAATTATTTTGCCTTTCAACTGACATAAATTAAAATTTTATTACGATTACTGCACAAAAATCAATAAGACACTTTCGATTTTACGTGGTATTTACCTTAACGTGTTACTAATGCAACGCTCGTAGTCGTTCCCTAATAGAAACGCAGTTCCTTTAAAATTAGTTTATTACAAATCAAAGTTACAGTTATTGTTTATTGTAACTTACATACATAATACACATTAAAATTGTCACTAGAAAACGCAGTTACAATGACCATACATCACCAAACATTGATTTCTAGAGGTGTCTGAGCATTTGAAAAATCTCATTTTAGCACTGTGATTTGTCAATAATTATGAGGCACCAATTTGCGTTCCGGGGTCGTTATAGCTCCCTCATCCTTCTGTGAGAGATCAACCTAGCATTGTGTTAATTTACAGACTGATAAAGTAGATTTTAACGAGCACATTCACTTTCGAACAAAGCTGTAAATACCATTATTATGAATGTGAATTTTAATTAAATTAAAAAAAAATTATAATTTCAAAATGATTCAAATATAATTTCGTATTTTTCCTTCATCATACAATTCCCAACGTTACCTATTATAAATCAATATTTATTAGCTTAGCGTCCTAATTTTTTCCTCTTCGTAGACCCAAGTTCTATAACGTGGAGATAATTAGCATCAGAGCAAGATACCATAGGCGGAATGGGGGCCGCATAATCACGCTTTTATGGAAACACAGTACGGGTACCGGTGAAAAATGTTGTTATAATACTATTTTAAATGTTATAAAGTACCGCATGTTGGATTCAATTGAACTGAAGGCTAATGTAGGTTAATTTAAGTTTAATGTTGCAAAGTACTATGATTTTTTATACTTTACTACAGGCTTTCTTATTTAAGTAATTTTCCTCGTAGACGAAGAGTAGATCAAATGTGAAATTGTCTATTTTCGTTATCTTTTGTGTTTATCTGTGACGAAAATTACTCTATAAGTCGTTGAATATTTTCTTTTAACGCTAGTTGTGTAACAAGAACATATCTCCGTGGCAAAGACACCATCTTGTTACACAACTGTCAACTGCCTAATGTGGACAGGAAATGTGGCCCACATAGGGCCGAAATTTTTTTTTATATACCTTGTACTAGACCACACTACTACATTTTTTTCTTCATTGATTTTTGAAAGTTTATATAAGATATTGAATACCGTGTAGTGCGCTTTTCACTTATGTTACCAAACAGAGGCGTAGCGTGGTATAATATAGACGTGAGCGAACTCACATCAGCGAGGCGTCTTTTCTTTCGTTTTCAAAATCTACCCAATAGATCTATTCTACCAAACATGCTTTGACACGACATAACTACTCATAGGTTCATAGTTATTAATTGCTGACAAGTCTCGTATTCCGTCAATCTAACAGTCGCGGTCTTTGAAGGTAGTTATAACGGCCTCGCAGTCACACTTAAGAGGGGCTTCTTGCGAGACCCCAAACAAACACGCTTTTAAATTTGTGACGTTCTTTTTCGAGCATAAAAGTGATCAAATTGATTAGTCATCTGTGGTAAAGTCTGGGGGCATCGCATTTTAAGGGGCCGCGCGAGGCCCCTTTAAATGTGAAACCGTGGGCGAGGGCCTACTTCGCCCACGCCTAGCTACGCCACTGTTACCAGATCTAAAATGGCTGATGGAGTTCATGCACACCTGCAAGCCTGCAGCCAAATACAAAACTTATGTTATCCCCTCTGAGAACTAAGATGGAGTTTTTAGTCTAAAATCTTCTTCTTATTTGTGTGATTCATTACTGAAGGTCGTGCTTGTCCTGAAATGCTTTCACCGATGTGTCTACTAGCTTCTTCCATACCACTCTGTCCTCGGCTTGTCTCAGGGGAGTAGGAATATTAAGTCCCATTATATTTTGAATCTGGTCGGACCAGCGGGTAGGTAATCGCCCACGTGATCTTTTTCCTTCGATCTTCCCTACTACAACCAATTTATCCAGATTGTCTGGTTGTCTCCGGGCAATATGACAAAAATAAGTTAGGACTCGTTGGTAGCATATAGTGGATAGTCTGGTAGTAATCTTTAGTTGGTCGAGAATA